CAGCATGACTCCCAGTCAGTGATGAAGCTAGTCTGCATGTGATTCATCTCTTGCTCATAGGGCCAATAAAGACAGCTGAATACCTAACAATAGGTCGCAGTGTTATCATCTGACAACTCACCTGAGCTCTGATTCATAACAAGTGGGAATAGTTAATTAATATATGGAAGACAAATACGTAATGTTTGTGTAAGTTCCCAAAGATAGCCTTTTTTGTACTATAGGAAAATCAACTTAGATAAGTTACCTACCCTTTTCTCAGTTTATGGACTCTCACATATAAAGGGTTGTTAAAGAATGTAATGGAAAACAAATAGAAATATTAATGTCCCAATTAATGTGAAGTGAAGAATTACAACAATTTATTTTAGAAATGTTCTGTTTTGAGTCTGTGTACCCCTGAGCAAGGTACTGTGCCTAGTAAATGCCTTCTTGTACAAAGGGGTCTACAGGTCATCATTGTAAGGGAGAATTTGTTCTCAGCTGATTCACTGGTAAAATCAAGTAATAAAAATGAGGTGGCACCCAGGATAATCGTACTGATCTACTTCTTTCCTTTTTTAATAAGAGGATGTCTTTCGGCAAAATTATGATCTGATGATACACAATTAGTTTTTATAGTTAAAGACACTCATCATTCCCAGAAAGATCCCCTTCCCAGTGTGGTCCTGTTTATAGAGCTAAATTTGTTCTTGCAAAGTAGTGCTTCATTTACTACCTGCCTGGCCTGTTGTCTAGATTAAATAGAACAGGAATGCTTTGAACATGGAATTGTTCAGAAAGACCACTGTAAGTGTTTGAATGGCTTTTAATCTTTTTTATAATGATGTGACACACAGACATATAACAAAAGGCCCGTTGGCTGCCAAATTGGGGCTAACAAAGTTTGTGGAATAGAAATGTACCGCTTAGTAATGGCCCTAGGATCTGTGCCAAAAGCAACTCTGAACTGCACAGTACTTTTAAGGTTTGAAGAACAGCTGATGTCTTAACTTGTGCTTCAGTAGTTCCCAACTTCATGTCCAGACATCTCATGAAGCCTTATCCTGGGAATTGGCAAGATCAAGTCACTAGGGAAGAAAACACAAATACTTCTACACTTTATGCAGGGCGTTCTTTGGGTCCAATGGGCTAAATCGAAGCTTTAAAAACACACAAACTTGTCTGCAATGAAAGATGCTCATACCACATTCTACTCTGTCGCCAGAAATGGGTAGAAAAAAGAACAGATAGATACAAATCTGGATTCTTTAACGTGAAAGTATTTACTGACGTAAATCAGCAAACAAGTAATTCCATGACTCCTGTCAGTCATTGTATTTATAAAACAGCCTAATATTTTTCTTGCCGAGTTTTTTTTCTTCTTTTTTCCAGCTCTGAATGTTTTAGTTCCCACTGTAACCTTAAACGGTTATGGTTTTAAAGTTTATTGCAGTCTTATAATTAACTGTTTCTTCCTTGAAAAATCAGGCATTCATTGGTGATAAGAACTGATTTTAAAAGCTTCAATAAATTGAATTTGATCCCCCTTAAGTCTGGAGTTGTATTGGAAAATTCACAAGGCATTCACCCCCAAAAACACAAAACAACCACTGTAAATCTTGCTGAGGACTGGCAGCAGTCAGTAATCCCTGTAGTAGTTTTGCAATCCATGCTTTCTTAGGAAAGATTCCATTTTATTATTTGTGGGCTTTTTTTATTACAAAACCTTGCACAATCAGATTTTATTGTATCTTTATGTTAAAAATACAGATATAAATAATTCTGTGGTATTGATACAGAAACCACACTTTGTACTTTGCAGTGGGGAAGTGCCATTTTCTGCAGTATCTTAACTTTTAGCAAATGCACTTTTATTTTTATTTTTTTCCTTCCTTGGTTACCTTAAAGATTTTTCCTTGGGTAGAAAAAATTGCATATGAAAGTAGTGACTTTTTTATCCAGAAATCTATGCATTTTGATCTGTGGCATTCAGGTCTGAAAAATCACTGATATAACTGGCTCGAGAAAGGGCAGTCAGTGTGAAAAACACAAATGTTGCCTACAGTATAGCAAAGATCTGCAATCTGCAAAATGTCCGTTTTTCTATTTGATGATAAGTAGAACATTAAATAATTTGTCAGATTTCCAATTAGAATAAAGGAATCAACCACGATCTCTCATGTAGTTCCAAGTGATTCAAAGCTCCTTGATTCTTTGTGATAATTAGATTAGTTTCTGCAGTAATGAGAAAGAAGGAAAGAGGAATGGGAAGATGGGAGAAGAGCTATCAATCATTTGCCAAAGGCTTAACCCTCTACCTGCAATGAATTTGTGGTTAGCAGAAACCATAATAACATGTCATTAGTTAAGGAATTGTGACATGTTTCTTTTTGAAATAAATTATAATAAGGTGTAATTGGCATTATGCTAAAATAACCCTAGCAAGCATGGGAAATCAACAAAGCCTTCGAATTTGTACATAACATTGGATCAGATGTTGAAATTGTGTGCACATATCCAGACAACCATGACGAAAACACAAATGTATTTGATTTCTAGTTATCTATCTATCTGCATTATCAAAGCAGTTATACACTAATTATCAGCCTATAGTAAATACTGATGTAGTGGTCCATGTGTTCAGTATATATTTGTGCTCCATTATGTCCCTCTAAACTTACTGTTGGTCAAGTGTTTTGCTTCAAGTTTATATGTGAAGAAACAGGTAAAGGTTTATTCTATGCTGAAAAGAAGAGACACAACGTTTTGGCTTTAGAGCCTTCTTCGTGTGACACAGCCAAAACGTTGTGTCTGTTTTATTTTTATTCAGCATGGAATAAACCTTTACCTGTTCCTTTGCAGCATATGCATGCTGATGCAGCCACCTGCTTAAGTTTATATGTGAAGCTAATCACTAATATCAGAACCCAATTAACTTACATTTCAGGCCTTCAGTTTACTTACTGCTACATGTTTATATGGTTGTGTATTGAACTAGATATCTCAACAAAATTGTTCTCAACAGATTGGAGATATACTGTATGTACTGTAGTTTACAATAACCACAACTACATTTTTTTAAAAATAAGTATGATTAATAGTTCTCAATTGGAAATGAGAGAAGATACAGTGAATTCTAGTTGTCTTTTTGAAGGTAGGTACTTCATTGTAAAATGAACAAAGGGAAAGTAGATCACTATAAATCCGCAATAAATCATTAGCATAATTTCATTGCTACCAGGTATTGGCTCTGTTAAATACAATTTTTATATACTCCAACCCTTAATCTAAACTGTTAGGAAAATGAGTATATGCAGTATATTAATTGTGAGACTCAGACCCTTTTTGGTTCAAGAGAAAATGGTAGAAAAAATGAAAAACAAATGGAATGAAAATGAAAAAGTAGGATGAAAACTGAGTTTTTTCATCCTAGAAAGAAGATATGAATTGTATGTTTAAACTTGTTTCTTTTAGAAGTATTAACCAGTATTCCTAATACTTATTGCCCAAGAGCTATTTATACTGCATGTTAAAGGTTCTGAGTGAAAATTACAGCTGTGTCAAATGAGCTCAGGGTGGGTTCTGATGAAATGAACAAACAGAGTTTACAATACGATTACGGTTTCAATATCAGCTTGAGGGGAGCTGTCAAACAGATGGAAATTCCAAAAGCCTAAGAAACACAATTAGAGCTGGAGGCTTTTCATGATTTTGTGTAGATATTTAGAAAGTATTACTAAGTATGAACGATAGCATGTTAGAAGGCCCCATCCTATCTCATGTACAAATTCCTAACAGATTGGGAAGTGGTGGTCTGCTCTCACCAAACTGAGTGTGCATTCTTTGGACAATGACAACCAGGCCTTATTGTTTTTTTTCCTCTTGGTTGCTAAATAAAAACAGACAAAACACATACAAATAAAGAACAATCATGGAACAAGAGCAGCCCTAAAAGAAGACAAAATGAGATGCAGGTTCAGATTTTAGCATGGTTATATCATTCATTCTTTCACTGAAAGCTATGTACTTACTACAGTTTATTGCAAACAATGCATTTGCTGTAAAATGTGAAAAAATCAATTATTTCTGCTTTTAGATCACGGAGTTCCATTTTGCAATTGCCACTTCTGTCAGAAATGTCAGTCTTAACCAAATCCAAGAACTGTCCTAATCATTCTCTAAACAAGTAGTTTTATAGTCTTTTCCCATAGGAATTATGAACATAAATGGTTCATATTTAATAACAGAGATTTGAAAATGCTTCTTAAAAAATTAAAGAAGGGAAGGGCAGAGTATTTAATCTTTTAATAACCCAAACTTCTCACTGGAAAATACTGAAATGATACCACGAATTACCTGGAATTGCAGGTTTTCATCAGGGATGATGATGACTAAAGTATAATAATAATAATGTGCACAGAAGTAATTGTAGACAGTTCTGTTAAATATAGTAAGCAATTAAATACTAGATTCTTCAAACATTTGATATCAATTAGGCTTTTGGGTTTTGAGATGTGCCATGGACAATTGTTTTATTCTGAGACTGTCAGAGTCTGTTCCCCCAGGATCATGACTCTGTGTTTGATTTGTGCTGCTGGGATGTCACAAAATGTGTTAAAACAAAAGTATTCTTGTTAGGCTAATTGGCATGCTTGTTGAATTATATTACTTATTGTGTCTCCCTCTCCTTTTTTTATTCTGCAACAGTGAGGCATGTTTGAAATTTTAAGCATCGTTCGAATGCTATGGGATGTTTTTGTATTAATCTGATATTCTTTGTTTTATTACTGTTTTTGCTGTTAGTACTATCAGTCATCTCTTTGTCATGTCTATGGGAAGATGCTAATATTGGGTGGTTCATTAACCAGTAGCAAGCTCTTAGTAACCTATATTGTAGTATCTTACATCTTTATAATTATGCAGTAATAAGCAGTAATGTTCCTCTTCTTCCAGCTTAGAAAGCTGTCACTCTTTATGTCCCGCAGTCAGTTCTTATCTTATGTTGTTTTGTTTGGCAGGGGAACATTTTTGCCTTGCAGCTTACATTATGAAAAGGCATGTCAATCTGAGGTGCATCGTGAAGCGCCAGTACCGAGGTATGTAATTAAATGGCACTGTATGCACATGCATTGCAAAAAAAGAAGACTTTTATTGCTATGAGCGACATCAGTGAACAAAGATGTCTGCTATTCATAGTAATTATTTTCCTTTTTTTTCTCCATTGTCTTCATAAATCATTATAAGCTCTATGACTGGCATATAGCTGTTTAGTTTTTTTGTAATAAGACTTTATGAATTTGTAGTGATGCGTCTTTTATTTGTTTAAGGGGAGCTTAGCTGAACAAAGTTGTCAGTCAATTGACATGAAGTGTTATTTAAAAATGTGGTTTTCGTCTTTAAATGGATTTGTAATTTATTTTTTGTACCACTTGTTCACACCTTCGCTTCCCTTGTGTCATCACTGGAGTATGTAAGATGATGGATGGTCACTCGTAGGATTTGGTCTGCTTTCCTACCCTTTTCATTTTCTGTACTTCATCAACATGGGGAATACATAAGTAGATGAGCTATAAAGAGCTATATAAATAGAGCTTTTGACATAACTAGATGAGCTATAAATTGTACGTTTTAACTGACATAATGCTTGTAAAACTTTCCCTGATTCGGTGTCTGTTTATGCATGTACTAGTATTACCTAACTTCTCTTATCTTCATTTCAGTAGTTGTATTTGATTTATCTACATTTGTATGCACATTTAAAACTTCTGCACCCAACATCTTTACCTAACAAAGTGGTCATTGAAACGTGTGCATGTTTGGTATTGTGGCAAATCTGCTATGGAGAGAGACACTCCAGCTTCAGTAAAAAGATCTTGACTGAAGAAGTATTCATATACTGTACACATAAGGCTATATACTATTAGATATATACTGTACAATTAGATACACAAATGACATATATGTATCTATGTGTTGAATTTCTTGTCCTTCTTTATCCTCCCAAAACTTATTTTTAAGACCATGACTTCTGTAACTAATGGGCAATGGAAGGTTTTAATTAGCTTTTTGCCACAAGTTCTTTGATTACTCAAGTTTTTTTTTTTACAAAAAATGCTGTGTGCCACTCATTTAAATTGGGCTGTTTTAAAATAAAAAATCTTGTTCCAAGAACTGGCCAATTAAGGATGAAGAAAAGCTGACTAACTGTTTGGTTTACATTCACAACATTCAATAATATACTAGAACCCTGTTGTGATAAACATTAGTCTTACATAAAAGTGTGGTTTATTTTGCTCCTATCTGAAGTCATTATGGTGTCGTGTTTAAATGTAATTAAATTTAAATGAGAAACTTCTAATTTGGAAAGCATCTAGAATAAAACAGTATATTTTGGCAACTGAACAGGAATTCTGTTATTGTCCTTAATTATTTTTACCATGCCTAAGAAATTCTATGATTCAATTAGGGGGAAAAAAGAAAGTTTTCAAATGATAAAGAACTAATAATGTACGAGTACTGATTTTGTTATTTTTATTGATCTTATATTTTAAATGAAGAGCTACGTGTCTTTCCTGAGCGCTTTGTCGTGTGTGTGAGTCCTCCGGAAGAGGTACCAGAGCACAGAGGAAATCAGAGCCCTGTGGTGGTAAGAACTGTTTACATTCTGTGTTTCCTTTTCCAGTCTCTTGGCAAAATGTAGTAAGGACTGTGTATTATTACAGCGCAGTACAGCCAAATTGTATTTTGTTTTGTTACTTGGTGGTATTTAGACAAGGTGGCCCTGGAGCCTGGATGGTCATTTCCGGACCCTTCCGCCTGTTTGGGATGGGAAAGGGAAATTTCTATGTGGACAAACGACCAAGGCGCCAGGGGTCATTCCACCCCAATTGGATCTCTGGAACGGGCTTTGGGATTTTTCTAAATTCAGAAATGCACATGGGAGCCTTAAGTTTTGGTCTCTTTTTTATTTGCTTTTTTGCTGTCCTAGCATCTCAAACATCCTCTCTTGCTCTTCTGTGAATGCTGCGTTGGTCTCACCAGACAAGCTTAGAAAAAGTGAAGGCTGGAAAACTCAGGCAGCACGGATCATTATGGTTTATTGCAGACAACATTTGATGATAGAATCGCAGAGTGGCATTTGCTTTTAAGCCAATGTGTGAATGTCATCTTCTGCAATGAACTTACAGCATTTAAATATGTAAGAATATTCTCTTAAATGGATGGGGTTGCTATTTTCAATTATTAGCAGCTGTTTGGACTGTTCACTTACTAATAACACTTTGGAAAATGTTATGACAGCTTTTAATAGTTTTATCTGCTGCAGGTTTTTTTAACAAAACACACAGCGTTTCACTTACTCTTACAAAGGCAGTGTGACTCTTAGTCAGTCTTGGGCTAAACCACTTCTGAATGTTAGAGAAAGTATTAGGTTATTGTAATTGCTTAACAGTGATTTGAGAATCACAAAATTGATCAAACAGTGATTGAGTGTCTTGTAATGAGCTAATACATGGAGCCAAGCTTCCTTGAACAAACCCTTTCTCCTTTGGAGTCCTTGTGCTGAATCTGCTCCTGGTGTGTATGCTCTGTTACATCATAAGAACCACCCTTCGCATGATGACATGATAAGTCACTTCCTGTTTAGGGTATGGTTGGTGAGCTTGGTTGGGTAATCAAATGTTGCTTCCTTTGGTATTGTATTGGGTACAATCCACTGCTCAGAACTAGGGCACGGAGGAGCACGTGTGGAGGAGACCTTTGCATCTTATACCACTTTTGTAAAATGTTACCATGAAGGCAAACAATACAATATTTCTCTGGCAGGCTGCCTTTTCTATAACACCCTTTTTCTCTTGCAAGTCATGAGATACTACTTGTTTTGAAACCAGGCACCTCGACATGCAAAATCCACAGAGCGTGATCTGACTCTGTTTTTTCTAGTTTTATTTGTGTCCTGGTTTTGCCCTTCCAAGTATCCTACTTCATTACATTGGTTTCATCGGCTGTTCAGCTGAACTTACCAGCCCTCCTAAGGGATTGGTGGGAAACACTAAGAAGCCTTTTACCTTGGCATAGACATAAAGTAAGAGACCTCTGAGTATCCCATGATCGTTGCTGGTACTTTTAATGGAAGCTTTTACTATTGTTTTCTTTGAATGATGTTTTTTTTCTACTTTGGCTTTCAATGAAAGCAACAATTGTAATATTTTTAGAGCAATGCAATCGTCAGTGAAAAGTTCAGATTGTGTAACCAATTTTCCAGTTGAGGGAACCATAGCTTTCGTTAACTTTCCCATTTTCAGGATGTGGTTTTCTTGTCTTGTGTGAGCAGGGGGTGGTGGGGCTTGTGGTGTAGTTCTTACTAGCTTATCCTCTCTGGTGATTTGTTGAGGAAAGACACCAGACAAGCAAGCTGTTTTTTTCACATGACAAAACAGTTGTTTATCTCCCTCATTTATTTCATATTTGTCTCATGGTTTTATATTTCTTATTAAATGATATGTAAGTAATATAATATTTTTCTTACACAAAATATTTTTAAAACATCTACTGTTGAATAGACTTTTACCGTTATTGTTTGCAAATTTCATAAGCTTAGCTTGTCACTTCATGCAAATTAAATCCAAAAGCCGTTGAAAATGGCTATCATTTCAGTGTGGGTTTAAAACTGGCCAGTTTCAATGAATAACGCAGTTCTTTACATACTTTTTCATTGCCATATATTAACAGCAGTTCTGTTTCACTTTTCACAGCTGAAGAGGAATAGTGCTGGTTTACAGTACGTATGAATTAAGCCACTCCTTCTTAGAAAGGAGAGCCAACCTGTAGATGGACAAAGTACAACTGATCCTCAAATACGACTGTGCTAATTAAATAAGGTGTACTACTGATTAAAATATTATTTTCTTCACTGTGTAAGTCTGTAATCAGGTAAACAGGGAAGGCCAAAGAACATGAAGTGATGTATTTCTAAAATAACAACTGTAAAACTGAAAATCTGAACATCACTTTCCCATACTTATTTGTTTCTGGTCTCCAATGTAGTGGCCAGAAGCATTACTCATATCCTGAACTGTGGTTTGCAAAAGAGGGACTTTTGAGCAATTTCATTTATGTAGTAATCAAAACGGCGTAAAGTGTCTTTAGGGAGGTAAATTAATTATGAAAATAACAACAACAAAAACAAATACATTAATAAATGAAGGCAAATTAGTTTCCAATGCCAAACCACACACTTTACTTTGTCAAAATCGTGCTAAAACCAACCACATCCAAAAATAAATAAAAATTTCCCACAGAGAACCGGCTTTTTCATGTAGGATCATGTCCTAAGCTTCGGTGAGTCCAGGCCTCAGTGACTGGATTTGTTTGAAATGGCTTTAACTTTGTGCAGCTCAGCATTTCTGTACACACAGTGGTGTGTTAAAGTGTTGACCTCTCATTCCAGAGGGTCACAAGTTGAGCTCACTCCCTTTTGGTCAAGCAGAGGGGAGTAGTTGAGACAGAGGGCATTTTCAGGCCTGACAGTGGGTCCTGGGAGCAAAGTTCACTGAATATTGTTAATCTGCAGTCCCACAGGGGAAAAAAGTCAGGGAAACCAATTTCTTTATAAGTGGGATTGTATTATAGAAAAAAAAATCCCACTTTGTTTTTTAGACGAATATTGTTTCCATCTTTTCTAATCAAATAACTCTGCAGAACTTATAACTAAGTCAAAAGAGACAGATCACTGTTTAATCAAAGAGGTTCACTAACAAACTTTGTTCAATGAACCTCCACTCCACCCTTTTATTCTTCTAGTAAAATCTTCCACTAAGCATCAGATAAAATATTACCTTCAAGCACAGATTTCAAGATGGATATGAGCCAGTTAGGAGTCTCTTGTGTATCCCTCCCTAAATAAAAAAAAAGTTCAGATCTTAAGGTCTAAACTTTTAAGTTTTAAGGTTAAGGTCTTAAGGTCTAAACTGATTTTGGAAGGCAATTACATTTATTATGGATTATAAAAGCAAAACAGAATGGCTAAAGGCTGACAAGTTCACTTTTTGATGGGGAAATCTAGTATTACAACTTTTTAAAAGCAAATAAGAAAGTCAAATAGATCTTTCCTTTCTTACTTCTAAAACAAATAAGACAACACAAACATTTACTGTATACAGAGCTGTGTTTAAATACAGGATCTTGTCTTTAATGTCTTCCTTACCTGGTGAAGTCAATTCCACATTGCTTGTGTGAGTCATGCACTGAGGAGTAGATCCTGCTTATGAGATTCTCCCGATCTGGGAATGTTCAGCTGTCTCAGTACGAATTAAGAAACCTCACAAAGTGTGGAAGCTTGATTGCACCCTACATCTGTTTATGAGACATAAAAACAAGTGAAAAATGTAGTGCAAGAGCTGCAGTACATTATCTGGGTTTTTCTAGACTTAGACTAAGACATAGTCAAGAGATGAAGATAAGAATTGGGTAAGAGAGTTAGATTCCACATCTTAAGCATTCAAGTTAAAGACCCGAAACTTGACATACCGACTCTGATACCTGCCTTCAAGCAGGCGTCCAGAGCTAACTTCTGATTGTATGCACCAGTCACCTTTCTACCGGTACAGTTCTTTCTATTGCTATCAATGGCAACAGGACAGGCAGTGATGTCATTCTTTCTTCAGGATTGTTTCCTTTGCCCAGCAGGGGAAAGGCTGCGTGCTGATTGAGCAAAGGCATTGGCAGACTGAGCCGAGGACGCTGGCATCTGCAGCCTCCTCTCTTCTCCCAGTCAGGGCTTGTTTTGCGTTGGAGGCAAATGCTTCAGTTCTAGGCTGGGTGTCTGACATGAAATGATTAAGCGAAATGATAGTGATAATAAAAATGCGCCATGGGGATTGAGCGGTCTCGGTCCCCAAGACTGGCACAAAGAGAACCTGAGGCACAGTAGTTAATATTTAAAGACCTGAGTTTATATGAATCATTTAAAATTGTGGTGTGCCTGCACTTACAAACACAATGGTTGTTCTGGCGGCTTAATGTGTTTGTTATATATCTGTACGCAGAGAAGAAATCAGTGCACTAGAAGGTATAGACTTTGTACATAATGACATCTGAAGGGAAATCAGTTTTCTTCACTTGGTCTTCACAGTGATGTGTATACCTTTACTGAACATAGTGATGTCAGTGAGCATTAAAGCAGGTACCCCGTGGTCTATGGTGGATTGCCCACCATACACCATTCAGTATACATTTTATACTGGAGGCATACGAAACCTTCATCTTTCAGAAATAGCATCTAATAAAGAGATGCTTAAGTTGGAAGTAAGGTTAAGGTTAATTTCAGGTTTATTTTGTATTGCTCTTCCATAAGCTGTTCTACAGTTGTGAAAAATGTGTAAATATCTACAAATTTACAGATAAAATTCCAACAATAATTGATATAAAACTCATGTCTGCATTAAAAGCAAATAAAAGGTGGTCCTGAAATACTTCATGTGAGTGTATTTTCAAGACAAAGTGGGTCTTGTCAGAGAATTGGCGTGGATTTGCGTCGAAAAAAACAAAAATAAATCCAGAAAGATCCTAAAGTATGTGTGGTTCTGGAGCATGTGGTGCTTCATTAATTGTTCCCTTTAGTAACTATCAGAAAAGAACTGACAGGAGCTTAATGTAAGCCTGGGCTATTTGTCTTGGTCTTCCCTTCAGTGATCAGAGCTTTTCTCAGAGGAGGGACACACCCGTGGTGAAGAGTAACTGACTTGATGACTTGCACATCCAGCCTGCACTTCTTCAAATCATAAACTTAACTGGGAGTAAACATAGGATGAAATTGATTGGTTAACCAAGGAAAGAAAGGAAGAAATTGATAAGTTTATAAAAGCACTTTAACAGTGAGAGAGTCATATAATTAGAGGTCATTGAAGTACAGAGAAAGTGTGGCATTTCTGGATGGATTTTGTTCTCAGACTTTGTTCAATAACCTGCGTGATAAACATTTTGGATCACAAGCAGCTACTGAGTGATATTACTTCTAATTTCTAGCCCCTATCTCTCAGAAATAAAAAAGCAAGTTAACGTTTTCAGTTCAAATCTTGCAGTGTCTTTGATGTTCCACCAGATTCCTTGATTTGAAACCGAAGATTCATTTTGTCTGGCATAGACGGAAGGAAGTTTATTGGGCATGACGAGCACAAATTAAAAACAAAATTATATTTTCTCTTTCATTCTTTATTGTAATGCCTTCTAGTCAGACAGCATGACTTTACGTTGTTTTATGGCCTCTGTGTTTTTTGATGTGCGATCAGCTTTCAATAGAAACAATGTGTGTGTATAGAGATGTTTAAAAGGAGTTACACAAGACTTAAATTGTTCACAAAAATGACTAGACAACAAGACAAAGTTGCCTTTAATTTTTAACAACACTTTTGCACAGACTTAGTGGCATTTGCAATGGTTATTGTTTTTTTTTTTATTTATGACCCTTTCAGGCCTCCCATTGTGGACTTTTTCCAGCCTTAGGGAGTTTACATCATTCCTCACAGCTAAGGCTTCTTGGTTCCCACAGAGTTTTCAAAGTCTGAGTCATACTCTTTATGTTAATTGTTCAGTTTTCAAAATACAGTTCTTTTTGCAGGGTGTGGCTCCAAGGAAAGAAACTACTGTACTTTTTAGGATATGTCTCAGAGATTTTCACATTTATTTTTTATCAGGCTTGGTTTTAAAAACTTTAAAGATGTTAGCAATGCAACACTTTTGGTCTTTCTTTTCCTTTATTAAAGAAAACAGTGCCTTAGAAAATGCGCTGCCTTTCTTGGAAAGTTGTGAGACAGGCCCCAACCACCCTCAGACATGAGTAACCCACTTGGGCATGAACACATTAAAAACAAAAGAAAACTTGTAAAAGACTTCCCTTCTGCTGGGTTTTCTAAGAGACGCATACAGTGAATTCCAGTGTTTGTGGGCATGCTTTAGTGTGCTCTGAGGTCAGAAGATGTGTCTCTGTGGAATCTTTTTTTTTTTCATTCATCCCTCCAAACCACAAGGCTGTCGTAAGGTTACAAAAGCCTGTGCTATGTTTTACGGTTACCGCTTAACCAACGGAACTAAAATGTAGCCAGCTCATCCTTTACAATTTTGAAAACGATATATGTCATATTTATATAATTTGTAATAAGATTGTGCATTTCTTATTTTTGCCTTAAAATCCAAAAAGCAATAAAATAGACATTATATTGTATTTTCTAATTTATTTGAATGAAGAACTTGTAACCTTTCTTATGTAAAACCAAAGTCTTGTGAAAGCATTTGGTGTTTTTTTATGATGCTAACCACCTGCTATATTGAATGATGCACTGTCGGGAAGAAAAACAGTGAATTAACAGCTAAAAAAAACTATAACAGTGGACAGTGAAAGATTTGCTGTAACACTGTCACAATCAGTACACTCATTTCAATGTGAATAGCAAGAAGCCACCTGACTTCTTGGGAGTATTTCTGCATTAAAGAATAACAAAAGATTGGTGTTATTATGAGTTTTGTTTTCTACAAAACAGAACACAATAAAAGACTATATTTGTAAATTGCACACAGTGTGAGGGTTCAATTTTCCCTTTAAATTTTATGGCTTTGCACCGGAATTATAAGTTTTTCAAGTTTAACTACTTTTCAATTAATCTCCTCACAAATGCACGCTCTGTTATTGCTCAGTGAAAGACTTCACTGTCAACTGAGCTTCACTGTCAGTTGTTGAAGGTTTAGATTATGAGTTCAACAACCTTACCCATTTGTTATGTCTGAAATGTTCTCCACCTGGGTTCATAAATGGAACTTTGGACTTCGTCAGACAGAATTGTTAAGTGGAGCCTTCCGTAATATGTTCATTTACTTGTAGAAGGCCCAGGTAGTTCATTTACTGTTAATGAATGTGCACTAGGGGTTGCGTTCATTTAGCTAGAGGCTACTTATGCTACTTATCCTGGGATCAAGGAATTAAGTAAAAAGTATTACAGTAGTCAAGATGTAAAGTATGACAGCCATGAATCAAAGCTTTTGCAGTCAGCACAGGCCTGTGACCCCAGGTGTTAAAATGGGCTTTATGTACGATAAGTAATAGATTTTGACACTGCAGGGCAGAAACCTATCAGACAGCATCAGTAATTAGATTCGGGCTGATGTTTAACTCTTTTAGAAAGGAAAAAAGCCTTTTCTTTTAGAAAAGGAAAAATAGCTTATCAGAGGTTTTATTATTGCATTTAGTTCCTACATTGTAGATATGTACTGTACCAAAAGAAAATGGACTGAAAATATGGTCCTGGGAAACCCCATTCTGATAATTAAATTCAGCTTCAGAACAAAGAATCTGAGAAGGATAAGCATGATAACATGATATATAAGCCACAATTGTGCCTAAATTGGACCTGTAATACTGATATCTTGACCAATATCAATTTCCATGTATTAGATTAATGAATCTTCTGTTGTTTTTTATTTAGTTGTAGAACTACTTACGCGCATTTCTCATTTCAAGGCTGTTGTGCCTACTGTTTCTCTAAGAAACCAAAGATACCTGCCACTTACACTTAAGTGTTATATGTCTTCTCAAGATGGGCTACGATGATGCAAAAACTTCAGCCTATTTTCCCATCACCTGTGAAACTGAAGATCCATTAAACAGCCCCAAGATATTAAAGAGGGACACCCTGAAGAAAATGTGAGTAATGCTCCTACATGAAACAGCAAGTATAAAAAATGTATATTATTCTTTGCTTCACTGTTTATTGTTTAACGTTTCTCAGGGCAAAACTAGCAAACACCAACGCAGATCCCTCAGCCAAGATGGAGAGAAATGAGGAGCTGGGAGAGGAGCCACCCATGGTCGTCATGGAAACAGGGAAAGGGCTGGGGAAGGATGTGTTCCACAGCTCTTGGAATGCCAGACCCAGAGTTCAGGACATCGGCACAGGAGGACTGGAGAAGTGCAGGAGAACAAACAGAGTTCAAAGCAGCTCCCAGCTTCCTTCTTCTGTGCTGGGAAGCAGCTCTGGTGAAAGGCAGCCAGATGAAGCCGACAGCCAGAAACAACCTCGTCTCATGGAGCAGCTGAGCGCAGGGCCACAGTGCGGGGTCCCAGCTCCGAGCAGTGAGTCAGCATCGCCACAACCTAAACAGAGTCGGGAAAGGAGCAAGAGGCGAAGGCACTGCTCTCGGGAAGAGGGAGAGGGTGCCAAGAAAGTATGCTTTGGAGAGGCTCCAGTATCCCCCAGTGAGGTAATAATGAAAACAGATTCTGCTGAGTCTTTAATACAAACATCTATGAAGAAGTCTCCATTGGTATCCAAGTCATGCTCCGCTCAAGAATCAGCTAAAACCACACTGGATGAGGAGTTGCTTACTTTGGGAAAATCTGCCCTGAAACCTCTCTTCACAAAAAATAACACAGAGCAGACAAACCAAAACAGGCTGACCACAAGCATAAAAGACTTATCTGTCAAGCCTGTATCCTCTCATTCATATATTAGCTCCAGATCCTCAGACAGAAAGGAGGAGGTAGAAAATGTGCCCAGAAAATCAAGATTACGACGGCTGAAGAAGTCCTGAGGGAAGAGACAGTAGGGATAACGCCTCTTGCTGTAATGTTTTGCATGACAAAAAAACCTTTAACATCGTTTTAAATTCAGATCCATCATGTTTTAATAATTATGACCTTGGCCACAGTTCTCCTAAAACCATGAAAAATATTTTCTATGAAGTGTTTTTAAGTAAAATTCCACAGTACAATTTCCATAGTGAGACAGACATTATTTTAAATGGGTCTTTTTCCAGTGACAAAAGGGATAGGCCTTTACAACAGCTCACCCGTTCTGATGAATTCTTGTGCAAATATACATGTGTGTCAGAACAGGAAATAATGCCAAAGGTGGGGACTGATGGCTGGGGACGAAGGCTTCATCAGTTTGCTGTAACAACCCTAAAAAAGCTCATTTTATTAAATGCATTCACTCCTAAAAGGGCTGTTTCCAACTGGCGTACCACTTGACTGAAAAGAACACAAGTTCACGTGTGCTTGCTCCACTGTCTCGCTTGTGATAAATGTCTTTTGAGGCAGGAACAATTCTTGAGGTTTTGCTTTGGCGAAGGATGGAGGAAGTGAGGTCGTTCCCATCACTGACAATCTGAGGATTCCTGTGTGAATAATGCATAGTTGATGTCGAACTGAGGTAATCAGGCAGCTTCCAGAGTGCAGTGTGGACCACCCAGAAAGGTCTCGGAAATACAAGATGCCAAAGGCGGGGTTGTTCCTTAAACTCCCAAAGCTGATCCAAATGGAAATGGACTCTGAGGTCTGTGAGATTGTTTGAAAGAGCTGTTTTAAAAAGCTCCATGTGCACACACCCCTTCTGTAGGGTGTATTATGAAAATATCCCATGCTTTTAATAATCACATTTTAGCAAAAGCAACCACTTAAATGTTATGGATGATTACTAATATGATTCTCACACTTTATTAAATAAAATATTGAGACTATTAGAAACTGAAATATTAAATTGAATTTTTAAAATTATTTTATTGCATTGTATTGTATACTAATTAATTTTAATTAAAAATGATTGGTATCATCGAATGGGATCTTTGTATAATGAAAAGAGTAAAAGCCACTTAGGTTAGAATCTCTCATTGCTGCTTGATGTGAAAATAGAAGTGTCTATAGTTAATCCACCAGAGAATTATAGGCCAGGTTAATTAAATGGAACAACAATGTTATGACAAAATGTTGAGAACAAACTTCAATAATCTTTAAATTAATAAGGAATTTCAAAAAGGTTAAATCATATGTAACAAACCTAAGTAATGGCAATATATCTATTTATTTCAGAATTTTTAATTATCAATTTTAAAACTGTGAATCCAAGGTAATGTGCAGATTATTTACTAGTTAATAAACAGAAAATGGTGAGTTATAAGAAGTGGAAAAGTGTATTGGGCTGAGGTAATTTGTGAAGTGCCACAGGAATCTGTTCTAGGTCCTCTGTTCTTTGATTTCTATATATGATCTAGATTCTGCTTTAGTCAGCAAATGTGAGCTGGAAGAAATGTCTGTTTGAAAAGATCTTATGTGTTTTGTGGACTCCTTATAGTCTTTATCCAGACAATATGGTGTCTGGACATTGTCCAGAATGCCAACAAAAATCTAGAATATATTGTGAAAATTATAGAATTCATGTAAAGGGAAATTGTTAAATTTGTAGAATGCTTTGGTAAGACTACTTTAAAATATTGTGAACAATTGTTTTTCTCTCCCCCATAAAACAGGAGTAAGAAAACAGGTTAATTTCTTAAATGGATTTTCATCATACTCTGTCCTTTTTGTCCAATATTTATCTTTTCTTATTGAAACTTTACACTCTTCTCATTACTGGATTGTTCGCATTTTGTGCAAATGAGCTAAATGCTCAGAATTTTAATGACATTGATTTTAAAATTGCAACATGAAAACCAATTGTTATTTTGCCCTGCAATGCATATCAGTTTTTGGAAGAGCTTCATTTTATCACAAAACTTGTCAGATTCTGGTGGTTTGAATCTGTTGCAGACCTTCATAGGTTCTTTTTCTTAGAGCTCATCTTCGTTTATTGTTGTGCTTAGAAATATTACGGCAGAAGGGAGAATTAAAGACAACTTAAGAAAGCAAATAACCCAACCCAGTCTTAATCTGTGTATAGTCCCACGCTGACGAAGGTAAGGTTGTGTGTATATTGCAGTTTTATTTACACCTCACATTTAATTAAAGGTGATGTGATCATTTTAAGTATAGCTTAATTGCTGGTAGATTAACCGATCCTGATGACAGAAATGTGGATGGAAAGATCGGAAAATACTGAAAGAGTAAAGGAAATGACAACATCCAAAATTCCAGCAGTTAAGCTTTTAAACAACAGGTACCATATCACTAAAGGTGAGATGATTTCAAACTGGGTGGCACGGAGGTGTGGCAGCTAGCATTGGCGGTTCGTAGCTCCTGGATCCTGGGTTCAAATCTGGCCTTGTGAACCTTCTGTGTGTATAATCGGTGCATTATCCTTAAAGGTTTTCTCCCTCTCCTCCAGTTCCCTTCCACAGAACAAACGTCTAGTCTAAGTTTGAGATTAATTGTGGTCTCTAACTGTGTACCTCATAGTCATGTGTTTGTGTCCTTTCATGGACTGATATCTTGACCAGGGTATCTTGCCTTAAGCTTCCAGGTGATCCTAAACTTAAACAAACTTGCTCAAGGTAACAACAGCGGTGACAGAGTGGAATCTGAACCCACAACCTTCCAGTTAAAAGTCCAGAGTCCTGACTTCCACTCCACCCTGTTGCTACCTGACAGTGAGTAGTTAAGATCCAGTACTGTGGCAGCACTAGACAGACTTGACAATCTCAGTCATCTGTATAGTTAATTCTGTCCTTTGGAATATTTATAATACTTTAGCATAAAGAGCTTTGATGAGACCTGTGCTGTTGTGATATTCAGAAGCCCAACACAATAAAATTAATAGAGGTCATGACAATCTTGTATTCTAAAGAATAATAAAATTCTGTAATACAGGAAAGTTATTTTTGAAGGACATTGATCAAGTGTACAAACAGTAATATCCTAAACAGAACTGAACCCACAAACCTTGAGTCATTAGTCCAGACTACTCCTCCACACTGCTGTGGATTTCAGTAATGGGTGTCTCAGTCCCACCCACTACATCATTTACTGATTCACTTGTGCACTGTATGTAAGGCATCACATGCATGGATATTTAGTGTTGGCTAATGGCACAGTGAAAAAGTCAACCTCTGAACCTCTGGACTAGATCTGAACATGTGTCTCAAGTTGGTGAACCATTCAGGAACCCTTTACTTTCATATTTTTAAGATTCTTCTAAGCAATGGAAAGTTTCTATGATTAACTCATTAATTCACAGCTCATAGATCAGAAAATGTTGCACTAGAGCACTTAAATATAGTTTTGAGCCACTGAGTTAATACCATTGTAAATAGTAGAGGTAATGTCACTAAATATTACAAGATTGTGTACAAGTTTTGAAACACTGACACTGTTTGTCTATAAAGGCAACATAAAGTTCCCATGCCAGTTGTGCTATGTGTAGCTCTTTTAAATGTTCTTGCACGTTTGCATAGATTCGAGCTCCAAAAAAGACCACAGATTGAACAAAGTTTCCACTGTTATGCAATTCACGTGGCCTGTCAGCTGTTTGTCTACTGCATATATTAATCGTGACCTTCCCCATAAATAAATCCACTGAAAACAAAGCTTAATTCTCTTTTCGTACAAAATATTTAATAAATATTACTTTCAAAAAAATTCACTGCCAGGAACAACACCTCAAAAAAATCATTCTCAAGTTCTTAACACTAATGTCAATGTACACAAAATATCTCCAGGATCTGAAGGGTTAACGAATGAGATTAACATGACTGAAGAGCCTCTTAAGAAAAGGAAAGAAATGCACAGCAAAAGCACCGATTCCTCAGTTAGGCAAGGCCATTTGTGTGGTTGCAGTTCTAAAATGTTCCCATTGGATGTTCTACTGTTCAAGTATTCACTGTCTAGCTTATTACATTTTGCTAATAAAAGCAGAAAGTAATTACAAAAAATAGATGTACATATGGTTCATTATATAATGAGGAAAAACAGGATTTTACAAGGATGTACTTTTTTCCTTTCCAAACACCTTGCACTTTTGTGTTTTTAACATGCAACAGATCAGCTACACTATTTTGTTCCCTTAAAATGTTTTCTTTATGGCAAATTGTGTCTGTCACTACCTTTTTCTAAAACCCAAAGCAGCAAAACTATATTCATTCTCCTTTTTTTCTCACATGCCTTAGGTACTTTACAAAAAGATGTCCTGGCAAAATTGATACTATATAAATCGTTTCAAACATCTGACGTACAAAACCCTTTTTTTTTCCGGGCAAAAAAATGCCCATCCTATTGTTAAAAAATAAACTATTCTTTCTAGAACACTTCAAATTTTGGCATTTAGGCAACATGAAACAAATTTTCATCAAAAATAAAGAAGCTGTAAGCTTACAAAGCTATCAAAACCTTCAAATCTAAACAATACATATAAATAAAAAGGAATGATATTTTAAGGCTCTTGATTATTAAGTTAATAAATCAAATATACACAGTGATTAATTAAAAAAATATTTACATCTATACAACGTTCTAAATTGACACTTTAAATTCTTCATATTTGCAGCAACTGCTGACATTTCGAACCCCCTCCCACCCCCACCCCCCAACAAAAAATATAATAAAAAATAAATAAACTTTTTTGATGGTTGCTGTGGTATGGAGCTGCAAAGGCACTTTCAAATACAGAACTAGTTGTACACCAACCATAAAAAGCCCATGTTAATATGGAAAATGCTAAATGCTATTTATTTTCTGGTAAAAGCAACAGGACTACGTGTGGACTGTGTTGAATACAGTACCGGAGAAGGACGTTTCTACTGTCGATCACGGTTTAGACCGTTTCAGTTCTGCATCCGTCCCCATTTCACTTAAGCCACTGCCTTTGCTGGGAATTGTCTCTAGTTGCTTACAGGAGGCATAGTTCCCCAAGTTGATTACCGAGTTTTCCAGTATGCTCCACGGGAGCAATCCAGTCCAAACCAGCAAGAGTTTTACACAAAGCCGACAGGCAGTCTGAAGCTGCGACAGCTTTACTCAAATGACCGTAACTCAGTAAGAAACCAAATGTTTTGTGCTTTTGTTTTCACCTTTTCCTTTTTTTCCTCGCTCAGGTTTAGCTTTCCTAGGAGTTAAGAAGCAGATACGTGTCCTCATGTCTTCTAGGCGTAGTGTGTGCGTGCCTCTGTGCAGAGGAGACAGGAGACTCCGGGCCAGAGAGGGGGAGTTACGCAGGGCAGCTGAGGAGTGTTTAAAACTAGGGAACTAGGCGGGGAGGGGGAACAGGAAACTCACAATAGGCCAATTCTGGTGGGAGCAGGAAAGCCCAGGGCAGCAATAAGAACAAACGTAAAACAAAGAACATCCATTTTTATACCTCCATAGCACAAGCGTAAGAAATGGAATGCAAGGTCTTGAGGCCTATGCATTAAACCATATGTATGGCTGGGGAGGGGGGGTTGATGGGGATTAACACAATATTTCTCCATATTTTTTAAAACAGAAGGCAGAACAGAAGGGCTGGGAGGGGTGAGACTGTACGTCAGAATTATCCTGCGAGGTAGAGAATTGAAGCAAGAGTGTACACGCACTTTAGAATCAATATGTGGGTTAAACAGGAAATGCACATTTTAAGGGTTTATCAACAGGCATGTGCTATAAACCACACAATGCCGACATTTTTAAGCAGCTGTAATGTGACAGAGCCAACAGGAAACTGACCATATTTACTAAATATCATAGTAAATATTGATAATTAAAGCCAGAGCCTTTAATGCCAGTACAGAGCTAGAAGAAGCTAAGCATGAAGGGGGTTGCATGTTTATGTAGATTCTTCTAGTATAATCCTCATCAAAACACAGTAGAGAATCAATATAGAGAACTAACCATGGTCTGGGAAGAGATGCAAGTCCATGGAATTTAAGCTCAAGAATTAGAGAGCACTAGTAAGACCTCATTTGGAGCAGTGTGTTCCTTTTTGGTCACTTTACCACAAAACTGATATTATAACCTCAGACAGAATTCAGAGAACATGAACAATTGCTGGACTCAGAAGACAATCTCCTGTGTGTTTAAAGAAATGGAGCTCTTTTAACTTGCCAGTATATTAAGAGATTTGACCTAAAAGTATAAAATCCTATGGGGCATGGACTGTCCAAAACTCCACCAAAAGGACTATTTCACTCTCACCAGCAAAACCAGTACATGGGGCTGCCAGTGGAAACCAAAAAGGGAATCCATTTAAGACTGAGAATATTTCTTTCCACAAAGAGTTGTTGGGATCTAAGGGCTTCCCAGTCAGGTGGCTGAGGCCTAGTCTCCGGGCTCTTCTAAGAAAACAGGTAGGTTTTAAACCTAAAACAAATTTAGGTTTACGTAGCTGCAAAACTACCGTATGGAACGTCCTGTCATCTGCGACCCTTCTAATGTTCAATCGCTTTGCAAAACGTTTTTAAGCCAAGGGATGGGCCGATCAGCTCCCGAATGCTCTTGACTGTACCCCAACTCACACACACACCTGCAGCTCGATTTTCGAAAAGGGCACTAGGAACTAGTTTTGCATAGATGTGAAATGCAGCACTTGGGATTCCAGCCAACCACAGCAACTATCATTGCCAGTGTAAGCCAGCTTGTCAAAACTTAAATTAACACAGGGATTCTATGTAAATAATAACCTTAGACTCAAATATGACACAACAGTTTAAGAACTACAAACTGAGCATCACCTACAGTGAGTGTTGATGCATCGGCAGCAGTGCCATCTGCTATACAATGTACTCCATTCGGTTTAAGCTCTGAGCAGTTTCTAAGTCTCTGTTGTCCTGTTTGTTTGTCCAGTTAGGGTTTTTTGTGGGAGTGGTGTGAGGAGATCTGTCTTCTCTGTCGACCAGTGTGTACGCTGGCTGCTTGGCAAACCTGGCCTTCTGCAGGTGTTTGTCAGTATCGTCTTCCTCCATCTCCGAGTTGTGCGTCCTAATTTTGGCAATTATCGAATTCTTGCTTTCGTAATCTTTGATGGGGATGGTGCCGGCGGCGTGCTTCTCTATGGGGTTTTTGATCTGGTTGAGCTGCTCGCGCACGTTGTTGGTGGTGTTGTCCTCCTGGGCAGTGTGAGTGTGGCTGCTCTGCTTCCTCCGGCGTCGCACGCACCACAGGAAGGCCGTGACCAGAGCCAGGATCCACAGGACGATGAAGATGGAGCTCAGCAAGGGCACCAGGTAATCTGGAGCAAGGGAGTGGGGGGAAGCAAACCGCAAACTAAATAAAAATGGCTCCTATCTAACTCATATGGGGATATGTTCACACACATCGTCTGTCTTCGTCTATCTGCTGGATGAAAACCTCATCAAGATTCCTCCAACCTGCCTCGGGATATGTACAGCACAGTAAAAACAGAAATTCAGAGCGCCACAGGCATGAGTGTGTCATCCATGCATGACCCTAATTAATCTCCAACTGCTCTAAGGAGATTTGTGCTTGAATAAAAGAGAAAGCTTACATACATTTACAGCTGTTGCAGACTGCAGCAGAAATAGCGTAATGTACAGATTTTGTTTGCATTCCTAACATCAAAAAAGGCCAAGTTTCCGCAGTCAAGGTTTAGCATAATCACTTATTTCCCATACACAACCTGCTACCTTTCAACCAAGTAAATGCTTTTCCATAATGTAGTGTCTGAGTCAACTGCAAGCTCCATCCTGGTGCACAAGGGAGTATTAAATACTAGGGCATCTTTTGAAAGACTTTTAAATTTTTTTATTACATCCAAGCACAATGCTCATTATCTTATATCTTCATAATCCATTTCAATTAAGCTCTATAAAAAAACACCTTTCTTACCTTGTTTGTTGTCCTTATCTTGTATGCGCACCTCTCCTATCGCATTTATTATGGTGTTGTTTCCCTCACGCTTGCTGTCCAGGTCAGTTATTCTATTAGTTATCTCTTTAATTGGACTCTTGTCTTTTCGTAGGTCATCTGTGGACTGTAAGAAAAAATACATTTGAGCTCATTTGCACGTCTTAAACCTTTGCCAGTTTTTTCCAGGTTTTGCAAAGGCAAAGAACTGCAGACATCTGCAATGTAAAGGGTTTACTTTTGTATGAATTCCAAGCAGGTAATCACTATAGTAAAAATAAATGTACACTTACTACGCTGACATGTATCTCATTATTGGCAGAAAGTGAAGGTTCGCAGGTCATGTAGACGGAGAACTCAGATGAAAGATTCTTCATAACGTACAATTTCCTCAGCTCAACACAGATGCGTTCTGTAGTCAGTCCCTAAAACAGGAAGAATGTGAGATTAACCAGAACAATCCCAATGATAAAAGATGTTCCCGTCTAGTTAAGCAGGTTTTGCTCAAATGTATTTTAACCATCTTTGATCCACGTCACAAACTCAGTTAAACTTTTACATTTACCTTACAGAATCACAATTCTGCAGTTTTAAAATTACAGCTTCAGTTAAAAGTTTTTTCAGGTATCATTGAGCATCAGATATTTACATTATTTACCTAGAAAACAACCTTTATTCCTATTACACAAACATTTTTAATATTTGTTGAGTAAAGCTAGAGTCCTTATAATCATCTGCCTTTTCTATGTGAACAAAATTCATCAAAGATGCTCCGCAGTGAGAGTAAGCAAACCATATTTAATGATCGAATAAATTACATCTCCTAACCGCACACAACTATTTTGATTGAGCTCCTCAGTGTCAAAAAATTAACCGGGAAAAATAATTTGAAAACAATCATTTGACATATTCTGACATCCAGTCATGTGTTAGCAGTCCTGGCTCTGAAATCCCTATAAACCCTACTGGGTCAGGAGCCCACAAAATCCCATCTTTGCCCACATGACTTACTGGTTCCATTTTCTCCTTGTTAAAGGTGAAAATTATGTTGATGCAGCTGTTATCCAGGAACTGTGAGCTGGAATGACATTTGGGTTTAGCTGGTTCTTGTCCAGAAGGCCAGCATTGCCCCTGTTCAGCACAAGGTGGCACAAAGCAGTGATCAGCTTTTACGGGGACACAGGTCTGACCAGCGGAGCACTCAGTGCGGCCTTTAGCATGAACTCTGCAGGGCTTGGGGCCACACCACATCTGCAAAAATAGATCAGCGAGCATTAAACACCCGCCGGATTATCTCATCATTTCAGAAGAGTTTTATGTTCATCCAGGAAAACAAAATGGTACCTTTGTGCAGGAGACTCTTCCATTTTGACACCGGCAAGTGTTGCAGTCTTCAACCCACTTGGTCCCATCATACATAACCCGACCACTGGCAATACAGGGCCTTCTGATTACTGTAAGGTAAAAAGGTTGTTTCTGAATCCTTGGTGTGTAGCAAGCAAAGTGTCTTTTTAGGGTGGAATAACTATTTGCTAGCAAATCTGTTTCTATTTAAGCAAATCTCCAAGTTTACCTAGTCGAGAACTCTAATAAACACTATGACTTTTAAGAAGTAAGATGGATGATACAATGACAGCTTACCTTCTTGACATCTGGGTCCAGAGCGATCAGGCGGACAGAGGCACTGATAACCATTGATCTCATCCACACATGTGGCTCCAAAAGCACATGGGGAAGATTGGCATTCATTGATATCTGTCGACACACAATGTACAGAAACAGATTGATTTCCAGTGACAAGGCTTCTTGTACACAGAAAGGCAGAAGCTCTTCCTTGCAATGTTGTTCTGAGCTATTAGCCCAAAACAAGTCCAACTTGTATTGTTTCCCACTGAAATAAGATACAGGATACAGTGGACCCTCCAGTAACAATCTGATTAAAAATGCTGACGGCACTTAGCGTTTCACATTACTTCTTACCAGGGGCGAATTCTAACCAAATATTCAACACCATGCAAAATATTTTCTTTTACAAAAATGTAATTGAAAGGCAAAGCTGTACAGATAATCTTCCCCCATCTAGGGCTGTCATAGCTCAGGGTGAATTGGAAACTTTTACCACTCAAACAGCGTATTTTTATCTAGAATGTTTAAGAGGTTGAAATTTGACCTATTTTAGAGCGTGTTGGAAAATGCAGGGCAATTAACAGCTATGCGGAAAGAAAAAAATAAATTTGATGTTTTCCAATCTCGTGGGAATTTCAGAATAGTTTGTCAGATTCCACGAGCAATGTTACAACAGTTCAAGGAGCATACTGTCCATACAACTTCATGGAAATAATGTAATATACTACTGGGGATCAGGGGTGTAGATCAGGGGCATTTATAAGAGCTTACATGAGATTGCTGTTATGTAAGTGCTTTGTTCTCAGGATCACTCATCAGGTAAAAAAAACAAATTTCAATTTATAAGTACATTTATAATGTAAATTAAACTTTCAAGACACCTGCACCCTACAGTGATGCTAGTTTAGGTCACTGCAAACGCGCTGGTATTTTAAATGGGCAATAAAAAGGATGGGACTGTGGTCTAAACTTTGATACTTACTGATCCTACAGTCTGGACCTGCAAAACCCGGGGCACATTCACATCGGTACCAATTGTCACCGTCCACACATGTTCCGCTGTTGTAACTGAAAGAGACATCGGAAGAGAGAGGTGAATCTCGAAAGGTCAGGCACAGTTCAGGCTCAGGCAGTTTATATGCAAGACAACTATTTGCACTGTATTCAAAGTCCAAGCTCTCTTACAGCAGTGTCTTGAACAGACAAGCTTAGATGATGATGGAGTCCTCATACAAGGTGAGCTATCTTTTAAGAATTCAAAGCTATGACAACAACTTGCACATCATAATACAAATGCTGAATTTGAATGACTTGTTCTCTCACCACAAGCACTTTTTTTTTACAAATATGAGTCTACCATGCAATACTTTCATATAACCAATGTGTGTGTGCGTGTTTAGTAGCCCTTTAATATTGCTGAAAAACAGATTTTGTGTACTTAATGTTAGCTAAGAACTATTAGCTGAGAGACTTGTTTACCAGAGTTAATTTCTTAAAAGTATGTTTTGGAATTACTTACCAGGGGTGTGGACTGCAGTCATTGGTGTCTGCAAAAGAGAAAGTTATTATTTAACACATGTAAAGCAATCAGAAACAAAGACAAGTTGCGACTTGCATGCACAGGGTGACTCCAATGGGGTGAACCACTGGCACTTTTAATGATGCCAAAGTTGTAGTTCCTGATTATTCCACATTATTAACTGTTTGCAAAATGCGGTGTTTGCCCTCTTAAAAAAATTGGTTCCAGGTTCTCCTTCATAAAATTTTCAGAATACATTTTTAAACACATGTACACAGGAAGAAATCCTTGTAAAGCAAGTAACAGGAAGACATGAGTGGAAGCAGACATGTCGCCGTTAGGCCAAGAATGCGCAGAAAGCAAGATAACATCTGTCTCCACTTATCTAATTTGCAACTTTCTCATGGCCAGGTCCAGACTGTATCACACAGAGTGCCTCGAAGACATGGGCTCACTTGATGGCTAAATCCTCAGGAAAACCAGTTCAAGCTTCTGATTCTAATTTGCTAACTCAGAGGGTGACAGGATGAGCTAGCCTTTCTCTCTCTCTCTAGAAGGAAGGCCAACCAGCTATGAGGCAGCCCCGAAGAACACACTTACTCTGTGTGCATGTACTCCCTTCCCAGCCTTCTTTGCAGACACAGGTGAACGAATCCCCGCTCACCACACAGGTGCCCCCATTCTCGCAGGGGTTGGGCAGGCAGCTACTGTTTTTGGCTGCAATGCGGGAAAAGTCTCATTAGGGGTCAGGATACTAGATTAATACCAGCAGAAGAAGAAAAAAAAAAACACCGCACATTCCTATTTGGCTGAATGACACCAACACTACTTATCTGAACAGACTAGATAAAAGATTAATGATTTTTTCTGCGGAAGCAGCAGCTGGTCATTGCAAGGAGAATCCAATTCATATACTTTTAATAACAGGGTTAGGGTTATATAATGCGATACAACCAATACAAGTTTTAGCCATCAACCCAGCACCTAAAAAACAGTTTTTCCCACCTGCAGGCAGTATGTATATATATGTATGTTGTTATATAGTGTACCTATATTGCAGGTAGCTCCTTCCCATCCCAGTGAGCACATGCATTTGAAGGTGTCTCCTTCGTCGTAACACGTTCCTCCGTTGTTGCACGTCGCCTCGTCGCACTGGCTCTCACCTGGAAGAAATGACCTACAGTCAGCCCCGTCTCCTCGCGCCCGCGCCGGCGGACAAGACGACAGAGGCCACGGAGGAGGACGGGCGCTTACGGGAGTGGCAGGTTTTTCCTTTCCACCCATTCTTGCACTCGCAGTAGAAATCGTTCACCAAGTCCCGACAGGTCCCTCCATTGTGGCAAGGGTTTGTCCTGCAGTCGTTAATGTCTACAAGCGAAACGTGGAGGGGGGGGGAACAAATATGTGAAGGTGCTTTGAATTATTTCCAGGAAAACACAAAAAAAAAGGTGGAGGTTTGTGGCATGTTGCTAAGGTCATTGCCGACTGCCGTGGAGCGTTTCAATCGAAACGGCGTCCTTTTCAGAAGCAAAGGACACACAGTATCCTCCTAAGGACTTTAAAACCCACGGTGAAAGATTTATGTACATCTGGATTACATATTTCAAATGGGATAAAAACTCACTGGTCTCACAGTGGACGCCTTCCCAGCCATCGCTGCAGATGCACTGATAGATGCTCACTTTATCGATGCATGTCCCTCCATTTCTGCAGGGGTTGCTCTCACAGTCGTTGATATCTGCAAGAGATGGGGATGTGTTTAGATGCCTGCCTTAGATTGACAAGAGAGCCACTGCAGTAGATGAGTGCACTTCTTTGGCCCCAATAGGTATCCGAGTTTAAATTTGTGGCTTGTACGTGATCTAAAAGAAGTAAAGGAAGAAAAAAACACCTCCTCAACTCCGTAAAAGCAGAAGTAAAGCTCACTAGAAAATCTACATCCCATTAATTCATTACACAATCTCAACAATACACTGTAGTATGTGTCATTTTCTGTACAAAACTCTTGTATGGGTTTCATGGATAAGCAAAACTGTAATTCCTGTGTTCAACCTGTCATTTTCAGTACTGCCTTTAACGGTGACTGATAATCAACTCTCACCACCACCTCCTCCTCCTTCAACCCCACAAAAGTCAAATGCACTTCAGATCGTCACCAAAACCACAGAAAAAACTGCAAGTGGAAAGGCAGACTTCTTGGCGCAGTCAGAACCCATTAGCCAACTTTCACACTGACAGGCTTGGGAAGTTATTAATCTCAAGGCTGACACAAGCTCCCCTGCGTGAAAAACAAGCTGCACCGGCTCATCCCAGATTTACCAGCTGCTCACCAGGTCTCTTCAGCGAAGAAATCAAACCCTGCGTGTTGTGTACTAAACTGGGTGGTGTTCCAGTCAGGGACTGAGAGATTAGAAAAAGATTAAATCGAGGCCAAGGCAATACCAAAGTGCCCTACTCAAGGTAAGATATCCATAACCCACAGCACACTTGAAGGTTCTGAAGCTGAAGGGCGCAAGATATCACATTGTGTGAAGCCCAACCTGAACATCCATGCCACTGCCTTGTGGGGTGTGGAAAAAACAGAATCAAGGCAGACAAATGAAGGGCATTTCTTACTCTCATGGCAGTAGGTTCCTGTGAAGCCTTCCTTGCACTCGCAGGTAAATTTGCCTCCAGCTTGACTCTTGCATCTCCCATGGGGCCCACAAACATTGGAGGAGATGTAGCGCACACCTTCAGGGGTGCTGTTTGAGGCGACCGCAACCGTGCAGCTATCAATCACTACCAATCACAATCCGGAAAAGAAAAACACAGCGTTAGGTGGCAAGTCCATGAAGTTTAAAACATACACATCCATATCCGTACTGAGAAAGGTCTTCTCTAGGTTCAGTAAAATATAAAAAAATCAATTTGCTTGGCAAATCTAGATAGAACAAGGGTCCATAAGAAATTATTTAATTTTAGAAATTGCTGTTTAATGCCAAAATGAACTGCAGTTCTCTTTTCATAAATAATAATAATAAATAAGATTTTATTTACGATCGTTTTTCAAGCACTGAAAACTTTTGTAAGTATTAACCATCAACCTCAGCCAAGTTCTGAGCAGTGCAGTCGTTATCTAGCTCTGTGGTTGGTCTGACCTCTAGTCTGTCGCTCACACAACACAGAAAAGGAAGCCCACCATGCCATTATAAGGAAGAACACACACAGAGCTGTTAAGCATTCGCAAGATTTTGAGGATTTTGACGAAACAAAAAAAAAAATCTTTTGGTACTGAAGGTATTGCTCAAGAGGGGGCTGACAGAGACTGGCACTGCAGCTTAAAAAGTGAAATCGTAGATGAACCCTTTCTCTAGTAACAAGCCCCGTGAGGGATGTTATAAATTAGCGTAACAGCGAGACAGTCCATTACTCAGATTCACACAATGGCACGCATTGGAATGGGCAGGACCTCCTGTTCAGATATTATCTTACAGTAAATTTTAAAAAAAGTTAAAGTTTGGGACTTTGCAGAACCACAGAGAAGTATAGATACCTTCACAGGGTGTCGTACGACAGTGGTCTTTTAAATGCGAACAGTTCTTTCCCTCATAGTCTTCAGGGCATTTACAGAAGTAGTCAGTGGCGAGGTTGTAGCACTGCGCTCCATTCTGACACGGGTTTGGTTCACAGTAATCAATATCCAGCTAGGAAAAACAAAAAAGGGTGTTAAAGTTTGCAAACATTATACAGTGCTATTACAAACACAGAACTGGAGCATTATGCTTTTTAGCCAGGAACAATTAGAGAGGAGTAAACAGCCATTCCCCCAAAAAAATACTGTTGTTTTGCAGTCATCATGCAAGGAACAGAGCATAAATTCATTTTTTTTTTCCTGGGCAGCATTTCAGCATAATAACAGAAATGCAAACCTCTCTAGTTTGGAAAATTTGTGGAACAACAGGGGTTTATGATGTGCGATTTTTACGAAAAGGAAAAAAAACAGGGAAGCGTTCAGCGATATCTAGGGCACGAATGCCCCCACTGCCTACCTGACAGAGGTTGCCTGAGTAACCGGCAAGACACAGGCACTGGAATCCATTCACTTCATCCTGGCAGCGGCCGCCATTCAGGCAGGGACTGCTTGCGCATTCATTGATGTCCCTCTCACAGTGCTCGCCTGCATAGCCGGCTGGACAGACACAACGATAACCATTAACCAAATCCTGAAAGAGAAAACAAAAATGGGGTGGGGGGGGGGAGGGGGAGGTTAAGGATTATAAAGAACAAAAATAACAGTTCCAAAATAATTAAGAAAGATTTTCCTGGCAAGGCCTCGGGACACGAATGTTTATGGTAATTTAATCTACCGCAGCAAAGCTACGCTCGCCCCCCACTCACGCGTGCGCGCACCCACATACATATCCCGGCTCTCCTTTCCATACTTTCAGGGAACGCCACTACGACTTCATTATGTTCAGAGTGTTTCCAAAGGTAACAAGAGATGCTGTTTCCATGCCTTAACGGTTTCTATTTTTAGACAGGCAGCAAATGGACCAGGCCAAGAAAACAAAAACAGCACCTACCTTGCAGGTGCCTCCGTTCTGACACTGCCCCTTGCAGTCGTTCACGTCTGCAACCAGAAACAATTAATTTCAGCGGGAAGCAGGCAATACATTTTTCAGCGATGTACACAAGGATTTGAAGGGACTCCCGAGGTCCAGCGAGATAAACTTTTAGACAGATTTCCTGCTTGCTTTCTTTTCAGATAAGCTTATTATAAAGGGTGGGAAACTTGAGCAATTCTTGCGACGCTGGTTACTGAAACTTCACATGATTGTTTCGGCCACGTTATCAGAGCCTAGCTGCACAGCGGACTAATGATTCTGATAAAATTGTATATTTTCATTCTAGACTGACCACTCCCTTTCGGAAAACATCAACTCCTTGGCTCAGCGCTTTAGTTAGACATTAACCTGTGCCACAGCAATAGCAGCGACGGCACCGTGTGTCCCCAAGAGCTGGGAAGACTTACTGATGTCACAGTTTTGTCCAGTCCACCCTGGGATACACTCGCAGAAGTATCCACCAATCAGGTTGCGACAGCTGTTGGCATTTACACAAGGCTGGCCGTCACATTCATTGGCATCTTAAAAAAAAAACAGGAAAATGGGGATGCTTCAGATCGAGAGAAAATGAGAAAAAATGTTTCAATTAAAGCTAAAACTTTAGCCTTATTCTTTTCTACCCAAGGTTCTTTGACGATAACAAGCTGGAAATGCTGAGGGGGAGGAAGAATTAAGCAATAAAAGCCGTGGTTCTGGGATTGAGTGGAAGGTGGGCGGGGGTGCACATCTTAAATTTGAACTCAGCTGGTTTCTCGAGTGAGAAGCAGTTTATGTTAATATTAAAACAAACAAAAACATTTTAGTCCAGAGGGAAAGGGAAGGGAGGGGGGTGGATGGGGATTACCGGATTAAAGTGTGAAAGGAATCAGTCAAGCTTCTCCAACAAGCTCTGTGACTCGGGTGCCCTATCCGCGGTCATTCAGATTAAAAAGGCAACTGCAAGAATGCGGACAACTCATTCCTCATGAGATCGGAGATTTGGGAGTCCAGCTGTACACTCCTTGTTCTGGAGGAGTGAATGCGAAGGGGTCCTATCTTTCCCACAGGATCCCCAAGTGGAATATGTTCCTTAAATTCCACAGCAACACGTGTTTGTTTGTACGGCCTGAGCCGACTGGCTGTGCGTGATGTTTCCGAACAGTTCCGCTGTGGCACTCCATTTGTTAGTAATTACGCTACATCGTAGTAAAAGGTTTAAACAAATGAAATCGTATAGGTATTTATGTCATGGGCAAAACCACAAAGGGTAAACAGAGACCATTTTAAAAATAAACCGGAAAAAAAAACGAAGAGCTTACCAATCAAGCATGTTTTTCCTGTCCACTGTGGTGGGCAACTGCACTTAAATCCATTAACCAGGTCTTGGCAGGTACCACCATGATTGCACGGATTAGTGGCACAGTCATCGACATCTGAAGGGGGGAGGGGGAAAGGTTTAAAACTCTGCCAAAGCTTAAAAAAAATACAAGCAGTTGAACATGAAGGCTGCATGTTTTTATTATCAAACAAAAGCCTTACTAGTCATGCAGGATGGTCCACTCCATCCAGGAGCACACTGGCACTCGAACCCGGAGCTCGTCTCAACACAACTTCCTCCGTTGAAGCAGGGATCGGACAGGCAAGCACGCTCCGCTAAAAGAGAGGAAAAAGAAAAGGCTCGCTTTGAGGCCCTGGCCTGTCTTTTTCTCCCCCACTTCCAACGCCACGCTCAGCTCAGAGCACAAGGCTACAGCCGCGGCCTGTTCAGATCAGCCTCCGGCCCCACCTCCCGTTACCAGGGAAGAGCCAAGCGCTTATCCCATCGCCTTCTCATCAGCCGTCCGCAAGTTCACACAGGCAGGAAATTGTCTTTCATGCTAAGATGACCTTGCCAATGCGCCATGACTTACTTTACACTTGCCTGAGGGTTGGGAGGATTCGTCTTTGGGAAGGGGTAAAAAAAAAATCTCATTACTCTCCTCGGCTACAATGGGAGCTCTTAACAAAAAGCAATTCATTTATTAATAATTTAGGTAACTGGAAGTTTTTGTATGAGGGACAGGGATTGCGGGGCAGGTGTCCCTGCTAGTGTGAAAGATATGACCCCTGGAGAAACTTTAAACCCACAAGCAACCCTGCGCAGTGGTTCACTGACAAAGGGCCTTAATACTCCTGAGAGTATTACTCCTCAAAGCTCCCAGTGCAGTAAGGGCAGCTCCACTCTGATTTCAGGCTTGAGTGTCTCTCCAGCAATAAAACCGTCAGCGCCACAGGATTTTTGTTTTCATAAGAATACAATCATTGCAGTCCAAAAAATTGTATGCCTCAATATGGGCAAATTCCAAGTCTTAAGAGCACATTCATTACATGAAATTGGCATGTTGATATAAATGAACAACAATAACAAGAAATGTATCCTAAGAGCAAACAAAATGAATCTGAAACGGAACAGGTGCAAGTCACCATTGGTCTTGGTGTCCATGACTTAGATCTAGTTACAATTCCTGTTCAGATTTTTTTTATGATCATAATGAGGTAACTCTCCTTCCTCAACAAATTCAAATGGATCCCTCCACTCCCTCAGTGCCTGCGACAAATGGGACCTTGGTTGCTGGTCTTAAATGTCCATGGATTCGTTCATGGGGCTCAAAAGAAACTCTGGCCAGACCACTGCTTTTATCCAGCACTGTCTGCTTATGCAACAGGTACTGTATGTCAAGAGCTGCAATCAAGACCCTAGCAAATACTCAGATCAGTGAGATTATAAATATGTGGCCATGTTTAGTTAGACGTTACAAAACATTCCCTCAAAAGTGCTTCTATCTTTAACAGTTTTTGGTGATCTGAAGAGACGTACCCCTTTCACAGTTGACTCCCGAGTACCCCTCAGGACAGGAACACTGGTATTTGTCTGGCCCAGTATTGCTGCACGTTCCTCCGTTCAAACAAGGCTGGTGCGTCCCACAGTAGTTCAGATCTGAGAAATAAATGAAAACAGGTCATTTTTAAAACTTACTTTCACTCTATGTATATGGTAAAAAAAAAAAAGATTGCCTACTTTCAAATACGTTTAATAAAAATCCAAATCTGGGCAAAAGAGAATCAACGAGGATTAATACCTTTGTCACAGAGCTGACCACCCCAGTTGGTTTCACAAAGGCACTGCCAAGGTTCGATGCAAGTGCCATGAACGCATCCTGGGTGCGGAATGCACTTATCGCATATATCTCCCTGCCAGCCGTACAGACATCTGCAATGAAAAAAAGTTTGGCATGGCTTTGACACTTGGACATGCACCACACATTTCATGCATCTTCCTGCCTTCCGATCTTTTTTTAAAAATGAAGCTTCATACAGCTCGATTTTCTAAAAGAACATTAAAACACCTTTGTCAAAGGTCCCAGATCGATCTTTTGACAAAAGACTGCCTGTGTTCACAAAAGGGATGGAAGTGCACCAAAAATATACATATTCTTCTGAACTTCAATGAGTACCGGCTCTCCGGTTAGTCACGATAGCTCCCCCCAGAAGACAAAAAAAAGACTGGTCAACCTGATGAAAAGTTTGCAAGGTGGCTCTTGATGAAGCAAAAAAAAAACGATAAATCAATACTGTTGTGAATAAGCAGCGGCAAATACATTCCACAGCTTCTTTTGGAACAAAAGGCCTATTCGCATAAACTGCAGAAGAACTAAGCCTGACAAATAAAAGTTCCATAGAAGTTAACTATTTTGGAGATTTGTCAAATCTAAACAAACTTTTGTATTCTTCATGTACTGTACACAAAATGCTTCAGTTTAAAGTTAAGGCTGAAAAAACAACATTTAGAATTCTTCCAGAAATGGTCTCATCTGTATTTGCATGTGGTCTCGCCGTTTTTAATGTGTCACCATGCAGGCTTAAGAGCAACCTCAATGTGTCCCATAAGACATCCAAAATATGCACAATTTGCAAACATTAAGAAACTATTCAGAACTGCATTTTTATCACGCAAGTTATGGTCAGCCTAATATTATAATATTTATTAATGCTTCTCATATTTCATTAGCTTTAAGTACTCCAAGATATGTGATTTTTTTGTACACATCATCTCCCCCACCACCCTTTATAGTCCAACCACTGATGATATTGATCCCCCAAAAATACCTCATAAGCAAGAACATCTTGATCACTGATCACTCTTTTTTACTGGCCTATAATTCTCATTTCCACACTGAGGTGAAGCGGAAATGAGAAAACCTAACTTAGCCAGGGATTTACTTCTATTACAGAAACCATTTTAAAAGTATAGTAACCCTTGTTAGGAGAATTTTGACTTCAATACTTTCCGGTCAGTACTTAATATAAACCTTCTGCTGAAAACACTGGGCAATAAATGCTCCAATAAAGCCAGGGAGGAATATGAACAGGCTCTTTCAAATCAGCCTCTACTTGTTTTCTATAACATCATAAAACAATCCTCAATGCATGAAACTAGAAGTGTTCTCAGTATTCTAAAATTCCCTGCATTAAAGGTTTTGCTAAAATATTTCCGACAGCTATAAATATTAAATCCTTTGGTATATTTGGATAAGAGCCAAATATAAAAATACAAAAGGTCCAGCACTATCCACGGACCTTAATTATGGTCATTCGTACAATAAAGTCACAACACATCTTCCATAAAAGCTTCCTTCAACCTTATTTTTCTTTTCCTGAATGTCCGACCAAGTTCCCAGTTAAACAAACTGCAAGAAATTACGCACGGTTTCAGAAAGAAAACAACCTTAAAATAAGACATCAATCCAGAACAGCAATCCCGTACAAGCCAGTCCAGTTATTCAATAACATCACAAGTGTGTTTTCTCATGAGAAATTTAACTGCTGCACTTTGGTGATGAATCATATGCAATTCTGGTCTTGTCGGCAGAAACTGGCTTTGAAAGGGGCCAACAAGCTTTTTGGCACTTTGGCCAATGATGAAATGCTGCGTCATGTGAGCCTTGAAAGCATGTTGCTTCTCTCTGCGATAAACACTGTGCAGTTAAGCTCAATACAAAGACGCTCGTGCATGACACAACTGTATAGTTTACTTCATATATGCTCCAAACATTGATGATGGTCACTAAATATGTAGTGGCTATGTGTTGTGGTTCCTGTTACTGTTACTCCTTCTTCAGGAAGCCATGTACGTGCAGTGTGGGAAAGCTGCATCTTAAGTAAATAAACGCACTAGAGCTTGTCTGAACAGCAAGTATTAGGTGTGCACCTAAAAAACTGCTAACAAAGCCAGTTGTTCTGAGCATGAGGTAGCTACACCTACAAGGATTGTTTATACTAACTGCAGAGGTAAAAATTAGTGTTACAGGACTCCAGTGATAATCTCAGCATTGTGCTAATTAACTACTTAAGGAAGCACTTAAGAACACTCTGGTACATTAACACTTAATAAAGTAAAATTTTAAAGTGACTGGTTTAGGGGAAAATATACTCAAATTTCAAACTTCTGACTCTGTTTTGCTCCCCTTTCTGTGGAGCCAGCTCTCGAGAGAAACATACCAGAAACCATTTTCTGAGCAGTAATCCCGAGCTCCACGATGCTAATTGTTAAATTGCTTGGGGTATATGACAGAGCTCTGGTTTCCATTGTTTCATGGCCAGAATGGAAACAACATCAAAGCACGACAGAAAAACTCTGAATTCATCAGTGTCTACTGACAAGATTCCATCCCCACTATTAACCTCTCAGCACTCAAAGCCTGGCTAACAAAAGCAAAGGAACCGAGAGATCTCACTAATCCCGTTTTGAAAAATGTTTGAGTCCTGCCCCTGGACTGAATGTGAAGGGAAAGGTGGTGTGTGATGGGGGCGGGACAGGACGGGGGGGGGTTATAATAATATGGACTTTACATTCAGAGCTCTACATGTCTGGGCATCACAACTGGGTAAGAGAATTACTCCTAGATCAAGGGCAAAGACAGGCTTGGAAAATGACTTGCAATGTTTAATGATTAAAGAAAAGTGCTTGGAGAACGGTCAATTATAACAGACCATTACTCACTTGCTTACTAGGAAATAGCCAGCAGCAGGAAAAAAAACCCCTCTCAATGTTGAAATGAATGAACATGCGTCTATCTCCTGTTAATCCCTGGACACCCCCATTAAAATCTGTTCATTATCCGTCGGGTTAGGAGCTGTTTACCTGCACTGTCCGGGTAACTTACAGGAGCCATGCTCACTGCTGCAGCCCTGACGGCAGATCGCTGGAAACGAAGAGAGACAAACACAGCGAGAGTCAGCATGCTGTCATTTCCCCACATCTCCTAACTCGTGGGAATGTTTTAATCTCTAACCAGCACAGTAATCCTACAAAATCCAAGATTGATCTGAGCTCTGCTATCATTCTGGTGGAAACTAACTGGGGTAGGTGGTGCCTTGCGACAGCAAATCCACCAATTCATCTTCTAACAATAGACCTCCGCACTATAAATAGGCAACGGGCATGAAATATGCTGGTCTAAGACCCAGTGTCAAAAGGGAAGTAGTTAAAATACCCTGGGTGCTTTAAAAACTTTGACATCATTCCTTTTTGTGCCAGGCCTGTTCATTTAATACTGTGCTTTTAATTTATATTTCAAAATCACTGCACCACTTCAGTGCTTCACTTTTTTTCTACCATGCAGAGCGAAACCAAAAAAAACGCTGGTCGCAGCTCCAGGAAACCGGGGCGATGCTTTCAGCAGGCATGACATCGCTGTACCTTTGCTGCAATCGGGTCCTGACCATCCTTCCAGGCAGGTCTTGTTGCCGTTGTGATCGCAAGTGTAGTGCCCAAAGAATTCATCCCTCGGCCGGCAAAACTTATTGCAGCCGAAGCCGTAGTAGTGCTCGTCGCAGGTGACGCGGATCTGGTACTCGAACTGGGCCGCGGCCCCGTTGTGTTTCAGCGTTTGCCACTGACGGTTGGGGTTGATCATGCCAGAGTGCACAGCCTTTTCGATCAGCTCTCCCCCAGGGTCTGGAACAAAAAAAAGAATGAGCCACTGGATGTTCGAAAGAGGAATCTTTCCCGTGTGCACAGCTTGTGTACGAAGACATAAACATTTTGAAAACTGGAATCAGAGTAAGGAAATAGAAGAAAAAAAAACAGATTCTTACTAAAGGCTGTAAGAAGGCTTCAGCTCATTAAACATTCAGGTTGCATCAAAGAATGCTGTTTACAGTTGCTAGTATTACCATTTTCAAAGGCTAAGCTTTTCAACTGCTAAATTCAAGACTGGACCACAATGACCAAAAATTACAGAGCAGCAACACCAGGCCACTCTTTTCACTGCCAGATTACTGCAGGATTCTAGCAGTTTGCAAGTTTTTTTTTACACACCAGTGAGCACCAAGATGTCAATTGCCTGCAGCTTCTGAGGAAAAAATGTCAAAACACTGTTGCTTACTCTTCACCAATAAATACATGTCTGCTGTTCCACACCAAAGAATAACAGATCCACATATAAAAACTCCAAAAACCAGGAGGTGAGCTAAGTGGGGTGAACAGCTCCAAAACAGGTCCTTCTAAAGGCTAATCAATGACTGGGATCTAAGCAAATCTATCAAATGCCATTAGATCCTCACTGTATCTTCCTTAGTTGTTCTTTAAATGGGTTTTTGACAGTTTTCTGCCTGGTCCGCTTTGTATGCAGGACAAAATACAGCAGAAGAGAAGCTATTTATAACTTCCTTAAAAGGAGAAAGTTTAAATTATGAACCAAATTGATATTTCACTTTAGTCTAGAATCCTGTACACATCTGTGGTATTTCACTGAAGGGCTGCAACCTGCGACTGAAGCGAACTAGCGCTTTCTTCTTACCCTCTGCCAGAAGCACTTGACTGTAGGGTGAAGATGTATCATAAAACATCCAAAATATCCCAGCCCCTCTAGTAAAAGAATGAATCTGTGAGCAAACTGTTATACTTTATATTAAACTGCCCTGAAACATTGAGAAATGTTGGACCTTCATTTGATATCTGGCTAGCACTCGGGAGGAATCTTTCAAATAAACTTGTCTATATAATAATATCTAAAACTTTGGTATTTATATGAGGACTTTAATTGAATTTTAATTTTCCCAGAATGTGCCATAACAGACAAAGTTCCTGCTAATCATTTGGTGTTTTTAACATCACCATCTATGCGAACATCCCGCAAGTCAAATCCTAAGACTGCGATTAGAAAGGTTTTCATTAAATTCCAACATTTCAACACACTACCTCATTAAAATAAGAGTCAATATTGTATTGGCTAGTCATTATACAGTATCTGTCAAATATTGACTAGCGAAGTCAATATTTGACAGAGCTACATAAAAGGCATTTATCTGTGCTAATCTTTCAAGACACCTTGTATATTTAAAAAAACACTCTTGCAAGAACTTCAGCCTTATTAAATCTGTTCCTATTCTCGGGCTTTATCTTTGCCTGCATCTAAAGTATAGTGTGATCATAAAGCACTAAACCTCTAAGCCCAAGCTGCAACACTCCTGAACTGTGCTCCTCCCCAGCAACTCAGCTCCTAGCTTTTCACATGTAGGGCTTAATGGCTCTTCAAGAGAGGTAAAATACAAAAAAACACTCTACGCAAACACACACATCAGTTTCACACTAATTCGATAATTTTCCCTTTAAACAATTACCGTTTTTTTTAACCATCGGCTTTTAGAATGGATCAAATCATTATATTACACCATAAAAGGCCCAGGGAACCTGAGAAGGAGATCTTAAACAGGCCACAAACAGCCGCAGAAGGAAAAAAAAAAGCTGCATTTCCCTTTAGCGCCTCTGTTTAAAAAACGGCCTCAGCTTTTGAAACACTTGGTGGAGTCAATAATTTGGGAGCGCATGTAACGCAGCACGCTGGACGTTAAACCGAAAGGCAACAGGGCTCAAGGCCGGACACAGTATACAGCTGTGCCCAGGGGTTGTTGCAGAGGCTGTATAATTGCATGGCCCTGGCCAGCACCTGCCATTATTCATCAACCGTATAAAAACATTTTTTAGAATCATGCGAGACGCACACCCCTCCTCCCCTCTCTCATGCTCTCTCTCTCTCTCCCCCCTTTCGGGCCCATCTGTCAACACGCTCTCTTTAACATAGCCAAGAGGCAGAACTAGGGCAAGACAGGAAAAGGAGGACTTCCATCCTGGCCCGGACCAGAAACTGCTTGGGGGTTAATGTGCGTTCCCAGGCCGCGGCCCATTTCTGCTGGGCTGCAGAAAAATGCAACTGATCCTGGAAAGATTCACTTCAGAGAACCTGTAGGGAGCGTGGTATCGGTGCCCCCCCTCCATCACAACACACTTTCTTTCAGGAAAGAGCTCTTCCCAGGAACCCATTCACCGGTGAAACAAAAAAAATAGAATTCCAAATAACCCAGAAGTTAATTTTCGGCATAAAAAAGGGACTTACTGTTATTAGTAGTGTCATTATTGAAGTCCAAGGCTTCCACTATCAGTGTGTAGGATCTCTGAAGAAAGAGAAAAAAAAGGGGCAGGTCAACAGCTGAGTGACTGGAAGAGATAAAGTCCACCAGACTGTATGTACAGTCATTTTCTATGGAAGAACAAGGCAGACATCAGGGTCCAAAATAAATCTCTTCAGATTCCAGCAGAAAGCGGTCTGCTTTAATAACATTTTATTGCGTCAATACTGCACTATTGGAGTCAATCTCCATATAGATTAAACCACAAGGTGCGATACATGTAACACTTCCACCTCTCGGGAAGATAAGGGAGTGAAGGTTCCCACATTCGAAAACGTGAATACTAAGGCATGCCTTGGATTTTAATTTGAAGCTTATTTTGAGGCAACTTAATGTCTTTTTCCCCTGTTGTAAAGACAAATCTGAAAATGGGGTAAGAAAAAAAAATCTTTATTACCTGGACTTTATAAGCAAATAAAGACCTTGGAAACTATTTCCTGTGGAAAAAAAGGCACTGCAGATGTATTCTGAGGGCACAGATTATAGTTTAGCTGCTTGTGATCCTCTTGTCTCTCAAGTCCCCTTATCCAGGCAGACTAAACAGACATCTCACTTATTTCAACTCCCTTAAATGCCTGCTTATACTTCTCAGGTACCTAATCCGGAAATAACACACACCAAAATATAAACACATATCCGTACAGATGCCGAGCTCTATTCTGAGAAGAAGTGGAACTGCGGCTATTTCACTTCACCTAGCGTTCGCTATTTTCTTTTATTGCTGTTCCATTTCAAAACAAAGTACCGCTGCTTGGCTTGGAAACTAATAAAACAGGAGTTTAGTTTCCCCCTCTCACACACATGAATGCAAAGAAATGCCTGAAGAAGGCTGCACAGAAGTGGTCTGTGAGGACACCTTGGAAGGGCCATCTCAGGAGGGTCTCTTTATTTCAGCACCTCTTTGAAACGCTGGGTCTATCTTAAGGCTGTCATTGCTCTCACAAGTATCAGGTAACAGACAAAAGAACTCTGTCAAATCTGCCCTAGAGAAGAGGAGGTCTCTGTAAGACTGGGACTCTTCAGCATGGAGGACCCACTTGCACACCTACTTGTCACATTCACACAACATGCTGGTCTCACAAAGGGCTCAAAGGAATTCCAAAAATAATAAGGAAGACTCCACTGCTCTCTGCTCCCCATTCCAACTTGGAAGGCTGCCAGCTGTTCCTGCAGCCCGTATTTTCCCTCCTTACTCAATCTAAACAAACAGAAGCTACCTATAGCAAGTTTCATCATCTTGCCTCCACATCGGTGTCCCTCTTCATGCGGCATGTAGGCACAGAGGATCTTTTTTTTTCCTCCTTCACCGAGCTCGTAGTTCTGCTAAATCAAGACCACGCAGTTACCTAGTCTTGCTGCTGTTTCAGTGAGGGTCACAAACGAGGGTACTAGTGTTCCCATCAAGGGGTGCAGTGCTAAATGTTTGGTTTAAATCCCTTGTCTGTTTTGCACATTTTCGGCAGGAAAGCTTAACTTTTATTTATCGGTAATGCTGCTGAGCTTATTACATACTAAATACCACAAAATATGGTATAAGGTTGACAACATCTACCCTCTTTTGAAACGAAGCCTAAGTACAAGTTTCACATTCTGTTGATTGGATCTATGGTTTCACTTACTGATAGCTGTGGGAAAATACTTCAAAAGATAAAGTAAGCGTGGACAAGCCTGGACACGTTTCTAGTGTCTACTGTCAAGGGGACACCAGTAAGTTAGCTGGAAGATAGATCAGGAACAAGACTATTGGAAAAAGGCCTTTCCCCTGAGTATTGATCTTGAATAAAATAATTAATTATACCTTTAACACACTAGCAAGGAATCTGCTTTCTAAATCGATCACACAGTTCAAATCTAAAACTGCGGTCAGTGGAAAAAAAAAGTAGTTAACACTGCCTGACACGCTACTCTGTTAGTAGAGGAGAGAAACAGACAAGTGTTCAAGTTTCCCCCCCCCAATCAATCTCACTTCATAATTCACTATCTGGTTATCAGCTCTGAATACCTGTGGCCTCCAGGTTCATTTTTTCCCATGCCCAGCACTGACCCTTCTTTCTCCTTTGATTTAAAGGAAAAAAAAATCAATGGTTTTCAGGATTTCAGAAGAACTGAACATCTAACCCCTAAAGAAGGTAAGAAATGGACATTTATATCTGTATTGGAAAGAAAATCTCCAGAATAACCAAAAGGCCCAGGTTAAATGCTACAACTCTTCCAGATTCTCTTGCAAAGAAGCCAAGTAACGTTAACTTTCTATTGCAATAAGTATTTCACTTGCCCAGAAAATGAAAACCCCTACCTCCTATCAAGGTAATCCCTGCACATTCTACTTATAGTAACTCCTGCTTCGACTTCAATGTATATAGCAGACTTAATGGTACTAAGCTGCTCTGACTATACTTTGCACTTTTGACATGACCATACTCTCGGGTATGGGAAGCAACAACTACACGCTTGCAGTAGCTGCTGGCCAGAATACCCAGCCTTTGACAGACTAGCTCTTTCAGCTAATTCAGATGGTGTAATTTCAGATGTTGGTAATGGGAATGAAGGCTTTCCTGGTAGTGATGCCTCTCCTGTATGAAGGCAATTTATTTATATGACCATTTAAGCCAATAAATGTGCAGGTTACTCTGGTGATGGAACTGCCAAGTCTATCTCTCTTTTCTAATTAATATGGCAAGGAGCTGCAGTATCGACTGCAAACTTTTCAGATTTATTTAGGCACACATTTTACCAATGTGTAAATACACATTATGATTACTAGGGCTCAAGGGTAAAACAGGTTCAATTCAAATGCCTTTTTACGTACGGTTGAAAGTTTATCATCTTTAGTCCCTGCAAATGCTATAACAGGCTGATATGATCATTTTGGAAAACTGGCTCAAATTATAGAGTGCTCATGTACCTAGTTATTTAAAAAGGAAAAGCTACCTCATTCATCATGTCTTTAAAATGCTCTTCAGAATAAGAAATATTTTAAATTAAATTAAATCAATTAATTTACCCTGTGGCTTAATAAAAGTATGGAGACTACTACTGCACCTCTGCATATTTTTTTTAATTAAAAGAAAATACCACATTTTTACACTGAGTGCAACAGATTACACTTTATTGCCACATTAAGGATGGCTTGTGAAACCAAAGCTATCATTGCTGCCACAGCTGCCAAAATCCTTTTCTTCAAGGCTTTGTCCCCGACACAGAACCAAGTCTGGTCAGCCCTAAATTTCAGAGGTCTTGCTCTTGTAGAATGGCAAAAACCACAAAAAAATACCACTGCACAAACTCTGAGTGTGTAGCATTCAACACACGGGGCTGAAGTCTGACCAGGCAGGCCTTTTGGAATAATGAGTATTCTGTGAATATGTAATATGCTGAATTTGCCATTATGTGAAGTAAGGTCATGGTTTGTCTGAGAGCCGATCTCTGCTGAGTCTACTGCTGCTTCCTGTTGCTTGTCCTGTAGTAGCATTATTTCTGGATGGGGCCCATTATGTTCTGTAATCCTCACTGCAGTCAGTTTGGGTATGCTATTGTTCTTGGTTAATATCAGCTGTGACTGCTTCTGTCTGGGTGGCCAGACCGTAATGTGCTCCAAACTCCAAATGTACGGGCAATAAATGCACAAAAATCAAAACCTATCAAGCTCTGATTTGATCTGCAACAAAGATGCTGATGTTTATTCTTTGTGTTCAGATGCTATTTTATGGGGTGCCAAAGAATATGTTAACCTGAACAAGAATAATCCTCTGTTGCCAACGGACCTATTTTCTAGGTATCAGGGGTTGCCTGGTTGCTCTATTACTTTTACCTATTCAGAGAACCCATTGATAGCTTCATTTAATACACCAGTTACAATGGGCACTAAGGTTAAAAGATGGCATACCTGGTGTTCAGTCAAGCACAACACCCACAAAGAGCAAGTGTGAACAAGAGGCCATTCTACTGACTAATTCAGGCTGAGCTGGAAAGGATTGTAAAACCTTTGAAACCAACGTGAACCGTTTCTTATTCTTCTTGAATAACATTTTTTCTTAAAGTGTTAAGCATTTATACAGTTCGCTGTTGAAATCAGTTGTGTACAAGACATAGGAAAACATCTTCAAGATATGTGCAAAAAGCTGTCAGCAGGCAAAGCTAACTGTAACTGAGTAATTCATTGAAAATGCAAGTGAGGTGCACAGAGCTAATACAAATGACTGGAATATCAGCAAATATTTTGAACTAGAAAAACTCAGACACAAACTCCTCTGTCATTTTAAATTATCTTCAAGACAGGCTACAAGTAAAAGCTTCTGTACAACAACATTATCTGACATAGTGCCTTTACATAATGATCAATATCTACAAAGTCAGATAGTGACTACTATCTACACTTTATTCAAATTTCATTACCTAATGGCAGTACTGAGACCAAAAGTTTCATACCTAAAAAAATTCAGATAGTTTCCAATACACAAATGAAGAAACTATTAACCAATGATAGCTTACTGATAGAGAAAACTGAGAAACAAGAGCAGCTGTTACCAAATTAGTCCTGAAAGAAGATATGTCTTTTAGTTGTTTTAAAAGACAAACCAATGAGAAACCTCACAGTGTGCTGTCTGAACATGGCTGCATTTAAAGGTTAAGCAGTTACAGCTAAATCTTATCATCACTGTTCAACAGACTGTACTGTATTAAACCCTAAAACAAAATGGGTAAGGAGAGGACAGATTGACTGAGTTACCAGCTTTCCCAGGGAAATTTAGACCCACCCACCCAAAGCCACAAAACAGACCTACAATTTTGCTAATTTGCTCGATTGCTCTATAAAAGAAAACATCCTTTAACTCTTCAAACATTGAGATAAAAAAAAATCTCGTGTTTTCGTGCAATTAGATTTCCCCAGCATCAACATTATAAGACAAGTCCTATTTTGTAAACAGGTAATCCCACCTGAACCTCATCCGCCACTAATTACATGCAATTTGCAAGGCGCACAATTTCTCGTTCCAGCGGCGCTTTCTACAATTCTGATTAAAATAAACGCGAAATGAATCCAGAGGTGCTCGCGTCTGCAGCTGCACAGAACGCACAAAATTTCACCGACTTGTGAGTTTTGCTCCCCTCATTACAACCCTTTATTTCCAATATCAATTCATAGACTTTTTTTTAAAAAAAAAACCCTCCCCCTTCCCCTTTTATTCTCTCTTTCTTTCTTCTTTGAGGAAACAAGCAGCGGAGTTTTGGTTCCTTTTAGAACTCGGTTCCTTGAAATCAATCCAGTCATTGCAGGTGCACTCAGTTGCTTTTCCATGCTCGTCTGTTACCTAGCAACGTATTCAAGCCTTCAATCATTTTAGCCCATTTACTGCCCACCGCCGCCCCATACATCATTCACGACTAGGGCACTCACAATCCCATACGGCAGAATAGGTACCGCAACTTTAAAAAGGCACATGCAAAACAAGCATTTACAAAATAGCTGTTTTTTTTTACGCCATTCTCAAAAGCGCGATATTTTTTGCTCGGCTCCCCAAATCCACTCTAGTTTCCAATTAGACAATTAAACGGCAATCCCAGTGTTGCCTATTATGACCCAAATTGCTAGGTAAAAGTCCTGTGGAAAAGGAAGTATGCAAGATGACAATGTCTAATTAGTCTCCTCAATAAAGGAATATTGGAGCAGGTCTGAAAAAAAGGAGGGTATTAAAAAAAAAGTTGCCAGGGAAACAGGCCTTTTTATAACAATATGATCTCATTGCCAGGAATGCATCTTTTCAACAGCTAATCCTCCTCCAGCCGCAATAGTAAATTAATGTTGGGAATAATTTCCTCATTAAAAAGTTACCCCCTGATAGATTTGATGATAAATACTCTCCCTTCCCCCCCAAAAAAAACGCAGTTTCATCTCCCAGCAGCATTATTGTACCAGCATAAACCTTACAACGGCACACAGCACTTATAATTCTTTTGCAATATGGAAAACCATTCCCTTACTACAGACGCGCTCCTTTTAATGGTGGGCTTTTTTTATTGCTCGTGCTTCTATTACATACCAGCTGAGCGGGGTAGCACGTTGGTGCGACTGACTTGTACAATATAACATTACAAACCCGTTTGGACACAGCGAGGAAGTTATGATCTATGGAAAATTCGATACTCTGTTTAAGTCATGCTTGGGGTGGCAATGAAAAGTATCTTTTCCGCGTTTTTGATTCAGGTGAACGGCACGACTCAGTGAAGAATTCAACGCGCTCCGCGATAATACTCCGATCTGACCAAAGCAATTTGTGTGCGCACTAATTCATGAACTCACACGAAGTCTACAACTGCAATAAGCCGCCCGCAGGTCGGCGAGAAGCTCTCGTTTAGACTCTCAGGGGGACAACACTCTTTCTCTCTATGAAAATCTCAGGTCTTGGAGGTAAATTCTATTTAAACCCAGTCTCCAGCTTCTAATGCTTAAGTGTTGCTTCCTCCTTCTGTATTGTTAGCTCAACTTCAGGCAGATAACCCAGGTGTTTTTATAACCCAGTGCTAAAGGCGTTTCAAAACACCTTACGCCATTGTTTGAGCAGTTAACTTATTCTGCACGAAAGGCAAACATCCCTGAACACCACTTCCTCAGCGAGTCCACCAGTCCGGGGCCTGAACTGAAAGAAACAACCGCTTCGCAGCACCAGACCCCACATTTCATTAACACTGCAAAACACAGGGGGCGGGTGAAACGTGCGAAAATAAATCCGGCAAACCCTGCTTGTTAAACATTTGCAACAACGTAAAATTATAGGAAAATTTTAGTAACAACAAACGGTCACGCCAAAGTCTAGAATTCCCTTTTATTTATTTTTTTACGATAAGTAAGTAACACGCTGTGTATTTTTCAGACAGAATGATAATGCAGAGCTATTTTCGCGAAATCTAGTCTTGACGTTTCCTTTAGGTTTCCCCCTCCTTCTGTGCGTTCAGCAAAAGCTGAAAGTCACTAACAGGACCGACAAATCGCATTCTAAATAAACCCGGTTCCTTTCAAAAAGTTTTTAAATAATGAATGCCAAGCTAAATGGCACAAATACGTTAACTTTGTAACTGCTTCTAACCGTACTTCATCAGCTCTGTTCTGCTATGTCATTAGTTAGTCAATGACTTGACCCTCCGCAGTTCAGAGCTGACTAATTCACATGTTCTGACCACTCACTGTAAAGAAATTCCTCATTAACCAGCCGGCAGAGGAACCCCGACATGGTTAAAAATACAAATCTAAAATATAAAAGTATGACTAGGTGAGAACCGCAGTACCTTGTTCTGTCTTCTCGCGGCTTTGACTTCAAAATGCTTTGACTTTTCTTTTTCTGTGATATCGTAAAAATATCGCGAACACTTAGTCCTTGAGGCCAGGGTTTGCGGGGGGGGGTGTATAAATAAGCTGCCTAGGTGAGAAAAGTACAAGATCTCACCGTAGTGCACGACCTTACAGCATATGTATTGGATTGCCAACTGGTGATGTTGGGGTCTCCGGCTCACCAGCTACCTGGCGATCGCAAGCAGTCCGACCTCCCTCAACACACACATCAGCCCCACAAAACGTCCTGACAGCGTCACGAATTCACAACTTTGGTTTCACACAGGAAAAGCGTTGACTTTTCAACCAGTCGATTGGTCATAGGTTTTAAAAAAAAAAAGATCATCCCCGCAACTCGAACGCGGGCTATGTACCAGCTGGAGAGAAAAAAAAATACGAACCGCAGCGTTTACACCCCCCGATCCCCAATGAACTGGGGAGTTGGTAAAGCGCTTGACACCCATAACCCATTAGCTAAGGCATTATCAGAAATAAGAAATATGGGTATACCAATCCACTCACCGGCCAAGCAAAAGTGAAAGGCAATACTATCCTGGATTTCTCATTCCGCTTGATGTTCTTCAAAGAAAATGTATTTCCCCCGATGACAGACGTAGATCCAGATCCGAAGCTGCATGCCCCCTCAGCAGAAACCCTGGACTGGTATTCCTTCAAGCAGACTTTGAAATAAGTATCACATTCATCTCTCATGCATTTTCGGTCTGCTGCATTCCTAGTGCCATCGCAACACATCCCGTTTTGTAACTCGCCATTCACATTCTGCATCGATAAGATCTGCAGCTCGAACGACCCTGATGCTAGCGACACCTGTTAAAAAAAGAAAAAGATTAAAAAAAGCAGGTTAGACATAAGTTCTTGGTGAGAGAATTGCGTTACGTCTAAATAAGCAACACAGATATAAGCGAAACGTCTTTTTTTTAACAACTGAGCACTGCTTCTTGCCGCAAGATTTAGAAGTTATCCGAATCGGAGCCCCTTAAAAGTCTTCCCTAAAGAAAAATATCCCCAAAAAGAGCCATCCGAGTTCAAATGTCCGCCGACACAAGTTGTTTAGAATAAAATCAGGTGACAGCGCAAAGTGAAATCACGGTCTTCAGTCAAAAAAAAGGACTTTCCGAACCAGACATGAGAAAAAAAATATAAAAGAAAAATGCTAAGCGTGAATCCCGTACACAGAAATGCAACCAGCTTTCACAAGGAAACTTTCCACGTACCTTGGCTCGCAAGCAAAATAAAACGACGTGCAAAGAAAGAGCAGCAAGGAATGAACTCCGTTTTAAAATCATGCCTCTTCTTTCTGGTGTTGCTGCTTGCTTTGAAACTAAAACTCCGGCCGACTCACGGCTCTAATATACTCCTCCGATTTGAACATGCACGAGTGGAGAACAACACTTTTTTTTCAGTAAAGCACAGATTTCAAATGCAAAACAGCCTGCCTCCTTTTATCACTTTATCCTTCTGCAGCCTTTATTATTATTGTTCTTATTCTTTTTTTGCTAATCAGCTGCAACACAATACACACGAGCTAAGAAAACGCCGTCTGCGAGTGACTGTTCCATCTATACAGCACGTTTGGGGAGTGAGGGGGGGTGAGGACGCATGCGTCTCGTGAATATTCAAGAGACGGGGAGGTCGGACGATGCAAACCCCACCCTTTCTTTAAGTCCCCTTGTCTTGCACTGGAGTATAGCTCATAAATTAGATAAGCCGCATCCGAGATAAGGAAAACCCGGAATACTTCCAAGACTGAGTGTCATTGTGCTGCAGCGCGGTGGATATTTCGGCCCCGGGTTCTGCCCCCGTTTCAGGGGAAAAAAAATGATTGCACAATACCAAGAAATACAGTCGAATCTGAGAGGAAAGACCACAATCTCTACTTTCAATTAAACGAGTGAAGGAAATCGTTAAAGACTCCGCGGTACCGTGCACGTCGTATATTAAAATCAAATCGCCTGCTGCAAATAAAGCGCACTTTAACTTAAGCAACACAGGTTTCAGGAGAGCTGAGGGAAAAAAATGGGATAAAAGAATAATCTTATCAAATCATTTCTAACCCTTCCAGAATGCTCTCGCTTTTGAGTTCTCTATAGTCAATTCTCAAACCTGACGTTTTGGTAGTTATATAAAATATGTCTGCGATAAGTGACCATGTTTTATAGCGTGTTCCTCTCGAGGCGGTTTTAGGATCAATTTGGAATAGACGGTAATGCTTTCTCTGTTTATTGGCTTAAATTGCTCAAAATCAGAACCAACCGAGAACAGGACAGTAGAACTCAAGAGCCTCCACACCAGTTCCTATAGTCATCGCCACAGCCTCCTCCACCTTTCCCCTTAAAAGATCGCCAATACCGTGTGATACAGGCACGATTGCAGCATGTATACGGCCGTTTCAGCTGCCGTGGTCCACGCCTAAACCCCAACACCTCCTCCTCCTCCCTGGACCTGAGAAGTTCACAGCTCCTTATAAATAAAATCAAGATAGGACAGCGTCCAGCAATGTCAGGAGACAGAACGCGGGGGTTCCCAAACCAGCGCCGAAGGTTTATTTCCTTTTTTTTTTAGACCGGCCGACTAAACTCGTTTCTGCTCGCTATTTAGAAAGAAACGTCTTCGTGGAGAGAAAGCAATATCTTTGTTTTGAAAAGCGAACACAGAAGAAGAAATCTGTTCGCCAAAGCATAACCACATCAGGATATGACTAACACAGGTGTGAAATGGTGCCCACAGGATGGCAGGATGTACACCAACGGGCTCGGAACAAGCCTCATGAGAGCTTCTATAAGGGGTCAAGTATGGTCGGTGGAAAAAACTCAGATGAATCATTCAATCTTTAGGATCTTTGGATGTTACATTTATTTCACCAAAATGTTGTGCCTGCACCTCACTTCAACTTTATCATGCAAATCCCAGCTCCAATTAACTGCTGATGAAAGTGTCGGTGGACCAGTAGGTGGTGCTTTTCCTTCTGGAGGTGCCATCCTTCACATGAGGTGTTAAAAAGATCCTAACTACTGGGTTATTAGAGATCGCGTGGCACTATTCAGGAAAGTAGAGTTTCCTTACTCCATTCCCCCTGCTTCGCAAAAGTTCCCCTTATCAACTGGTGAAGCAATGTCTCAATTCTGTAGCTGATCTGCAATGTACTGGGGCTCCTGGAGAACCACAATTGTGGATTAAGCAGGTCTCCTCCTACACATAAAGCACTTTGGGATCTTTTGGGATTAAAAGCACTATGTAAATACGGCTAATTGTCCTTATTGCTCCAAATACTGACAGTTACAGTCTACAATGTCTGAGGGGAACAGAAGTTAGCTCTCATCTTAAAAACATAGAGTGAATGATGAGACTACATCCTGGGATAGGACACCTATCCTTCACATGACACACATACACCCAAAGTTCAGAGACTCCAATTAACCCAGCCAGCTTGCCTTTAGAATGCAAAAGGAAAGCAGTGAAAGCAGTAAACCCAAACTAAAAATGCAGAGAACATGCAAACTTCACATAGAAGTTGCCCCATGCTGTACTTAAACCAGGAACCTGAAGATCTGTGAGGTGGCCCTTGATAATTATGAACTTTTTAAATTTCTCATGTTTATGACACTATTATTGGCGTTTAGTTTGCTTCAAGCCTTTTTAAATGTGAATGTCGAAAACATATTCCAGAAATTCAGGAAACACCAGTTTTGAAGTCTTAAATTATGATTTTGTAACAGAGAAAAAAAGGTTATGGCTCTCATCTTCATTTCATGAACTCAAAGTGTCTGAAACAGGACCCAGTAGCTTTATTATTATTTATTTTTCAATTATCAGAATTCTGTATGTCTTATACACCAGATTTTGGGTCAGTGTATGACTTAATATCTTAGGATGTGGTGTAGTTGACTGGAAAATTAGAGAGCTTCTGTTCTATATTCTAGTGTTCTTTACAAAAACTCATTTTGTGTAGAAAAAAAGGCTTCCAAAAAACTTGGTATTTTCACTCCCTAAATGCACAAAACCAATACATTAACATCACATCTTTGGTTGTTAAGCATTCATTGATGAAAGAACTAAAAGGAGCTAAATACATAGACCAGGTGTGTTCAGTTCTAGCATGATTTGAATTGGAGAACATATTGTGAAATATTTATAGTTAACTATAAAAGTATAGAAATAGTTGTACCACAAAGTGACAGTATTTTCATAAGGTTACATAAAAATCTTCCCCTGATCTGATCTGAACTGAACTTCCCCTGAACTGATCTGAAGTAAATGTATCAAAGTAGGCTACTGCTTTTTGCCAACCTCACAAAATCTACAGTACAGTATATATTGCATTTCAGTCATTCAATTTTTGCATCATCCTTCCTCTGTGTGTATTATTGTAATGTCTGGCCGACTCAACTGAGACTACTGTACATTTTTTTATATCAAATCACATACTTGTATGTACTTTCTCTTATTAATTTGGATATTTGCAATAGTCATGCTTGTAAATTCAGCTAATTATAGCAAACTGTTAAAGGCACATTATGGTGACTGTTACATAAAGTACAATATTTCTATATAAATTCTAAACAGTTGTATTTCAAACCACAAAAATTTGCTTTTGCAACACTCATAAAAGTATACAGCAGTATCCAGTCTTGCAAAGGCATTAATATGTTTACCAACAGCAGTATATTTCGGTCACTACTGATGCAGAAAGTAAATCTTAAGTACTAAGTAATATTTGTAGTTTTGGGTAACAGTGAAACGGCAGTCAAAACTATATAGTATTTCATGTAACCATTTAAGTCAACTAAATCTTCAAACCAATTTAAAAATTCCTGTTTAGGTAGAGTGTTACAGTCAAAAGCACCATTAAACCATACAAAGATACTTGCAAACTGTAGTAGCACGTATTCATCTTAACTTAGGTTGGATGAAAGTTCAATGAATATTTGTTAATGTCTTTGTTATCTAATTCAAATGCAGTATTTGCTTATCTAGATGCCCTATAGCGTTTTCCGAACCCCATTGCTATGTGCAGTGTAATTTGTAGTGATGTGAGGGTGTGAGATTTGCTGGTGTGTTCCTGTAGGAGTCCCATCGAGCTCTATTTTTTTCAGTAAGCCTCATACATGACACCACAAACACTAAATATCCTGTCTCGCTTTGATAACGCTTTGAGGTCACTGGGACAGAGTTTCCATCTACTAAATCAATGAATCACACGCCGATATACCTAATACGGTACGGTGGTGTAGTTATTATATACATCTTCATTAAAATAAAACATACAGCTAAAACTGATTGATATTGGAATGTCTGAAAAAAATGTTGTCTCTTGTAGGTTTTGCTTTAAGGTTATACGATATTTGCTTGTGATAACTGAGTCCACATACATTCATATAGATTTTAGTGATGTTAACCCCGATAACCTCTTGGTTTGTAGGTAAGGAATAGGAAGATTACTAGATGGAGCACTCATCGGCTGTCTCTACAGCTATTTTTATACTTACTCAAAAAAGGATTTCCACAAGAACGAGAAAACAATTTATTAGGTAATATCTAGAACATTTGAAAATTAAAACAATTATTAACTTTTGAGAGGACTTATTGCTAACTTCCAAAACAGAGAAACGCAGAGATCTTTGTAAGGATAGGGCACAGATCCCTTTTAGACCCTTTCCAACGCACCCGTAATCCGATTTAAAATGCCTGGGTTCCTCTTATTGGGAACATGCGTTCAAAACCATTGTTCTCGGTATTATAATAATCACTAAGACCAGGTATTGAGGGCGAGAGGCAGGGCTCCGACAATGCACACGTTTCGCTCAGGTCTTAGACCCAGCTGTTGTACGACCAGCATTTAAATCAATGAAACAAATTGCAATTGAAAAGCGGCAGAAGGGTTCGGAGCTTAAGATCCATCTATCTTGGTGCAACTCTTTCAAGGGTCGATCTTCGTCTCTAATGTGAGTTTCAAAAGAATCGAAAAAAGGGGGGGGGGTAGTTCTTTATGGAAGGGAGACCCGTAGGAACAAAGACGATGGTCTTTATTCTCAAATTAGAGCAGCTGCTGTCTACCAATCGTGCTCCATTGAAATCCATCAACTTTTGAAAGAAACATGGGCATTTGAAACTGTTGCTACAATAATTGTTCGACATTCAGTTTTAGCCACAGAAGGAGGTTTAATGAGGGAAAAGTAGGGCTCAAGTTCAAACAGATTAAGTCAATAATTTTGAGAGAACAGATTGTCCGGGCTGCTAACTTGAAAGTACTTAGGACTGTTACTCATGCAGTCAGGGCATTTCAATTTAATAGCGGGTGTTTTAAAGAAACTATTTCAAAAGACAATTTTGACCGACTTCATTTCCAAATAGGAAGCTGAATAACACAGTAATATAGATCCAGGCTTTCTTTGCAAATAATGTAGCAAAGCAACAGACAGCTCACAGCATATATATTTTGATTAACTGAGAGCGTTTTTTAGATTGCCATACGCTATACAGTACAAAAAGGTGGTTTCCTAAAATATGTTTTGTTCATATAGATATATCCACATTTTGTACTTCACAGGAATGCAAATTATTTCAAGTGACCAAAGAACAAAGTTAATAGTTAATATTATTATTATTCAAAATATGAAAGGACAATGTTACAGAAATACACGTAAAGCCTGGCATATCATATTTTTGAGTTTTGAT